GGGGCTCGCATACAGACGGCCAGCCAGCACCATGATTCCCTACAATAGGGGGCCAAGGACCCCAGTGATCACAACAATCTCGTCACTAGTAACAGTGTAGTGACATTATCAGCACATTTCCCTAAGCATTACGTCCCATTTCCTTCATAATCTGCCAAAAAACACGACCTGTGAGGGTGACGTTGCGGCGCGTAATCGCTCCATGGCTGGATGTGTGGCACCTCACGGCGCAGTATTTATCTCGACCAGCTTCCCCCAGATCGACGGAAAAAAAAAAAACTCCAAATTCCAAAAGAAAACGAGGTCCCCATCGCAACTTTGTTACGACGCTTACAAACTTAGAGGATGATTGGTTTCCACACCGTGGCCCTCGTGCTCCTATTGGCGGCGTTTGTGTTCACGCTCCTCGCCCTGATCTCCGGCCCCGTGGCGCTGACGCTCGTGCTTGCCGAGGCCCTGGGCGTCAAGTACGGGATCTTTGGCTATACGTCGAGTTCGCAACACTTTCAAGGCTACCCTATCCATTTTAGTGATGTTACCAACCAGCCTCGCGACTGGGTGCTTTCGCAAGACCAGCGCACTAACTGTGCCAAGGCGTTTGTCATTGCTCCCATTGCCTGTGGCTTTAGCTTCTTTGCCGTCGTCGGCTATTTAATTGGCCATTTCGTGTGGGTGGGGCGTATTATCGGCTTGGTGCTCAACGTTATTGCCGCGCTCTGTCTGATTGCCATCTGTGTGTTGGTGGTGCTTGTGTTCCACCCTCACGTCAGTGCTATTGGCTGGCTCACCGTGGCTGCTGCGGGGTGTGCCCTTATTGCCATTATTCCTGGTCTCCTTTCGTTGTTCCTCGGGACAAGAAAGGATGCCGACGACCGCGACGATACGCTGCTGTACGACGAAAACTCCAACAGTTACGACGGACAGAAGTTGGACGATAAGTTTGGCCACGTCCACACTAACGTCATCAGTCTCCCACACACCAACCACAACGATAACCGCTCGTTTGCCTACCAGCCGAAGCCGCAAGCGGTGGCTCGCCCCGGTAATGTCGCCGCCGTCAACGGCCAGCCCAAATACCTGACGGAAAGCAAATTGACCAACAAGTCGCTGGTGGACCTGACTGGTGCTACGCAACCGCCGGTGGCTCCAGCGACGGTGGTACCTCAACTGGCACCGAGAGTGACCCCCACCGCTCCTTACGGTCAACAACAAGCCCTGAGAGTGACCCCCGGCGCTGCTTATGGTCAGCTGACTCAGTTCTCTCATAACCAAGCCGTTCAAAACGCCCAACCCGGCGTCGGTGCCTCTGCTCCCATCTCTAGATCTACCGTCGGTGGAGCTAACCAGGCTGCCACCACCGGCACCACGCCGTATCCCACTGGCTCGTGGGGGCCGCAACAGGCTCAGCCTCAACCCCGTCCGCTCTCTGATCTGGACGAGTTTGATGACGAAGACAACTTGGGCGGCGCTGGCCACGGCGGCTACCCGCTGGATTCCGACTCCGACTTCACCCTGGTGAGCCAGCGTGCTCCCAACCCCAACTACGAACAGCCGCCGGCGCCGCCACCTCATCGGGGGGTGGTCCCCGGTGCTGGTGGTCCCGGCGTGGTTCCGCTGGCGTTTGCGCAAAACCAGTCGTTCCACCAGCAGCAGTCGCCCGGGAGAATGCCGGGCCAGCCCTACCACGGCCAGTTACAGCCTCAGCGTCCCACGGTGCTGGAACAGGCGCTCAGCAGCAACCCGGACTTCGGGTTCCCTCAAGCTCGCCGGCGCCAGGCCGGGTTTGTGCCGGTAGCGGCACGCTATAAGCCCCAGGCCGCTGGCCGGCCCCCCGCCGCAAACCGCCCCGGGTATTATTGATGATGTAGTATAACTTATGAATAGACTAACCGGATTGTAGGAGAAGAGATTGACGATTATCAGAAAAGAAAGGCTACCAGCTTTAAACCTTCTGATATCAATTTTCGGCTAAACAATCGATGTGCCGTTGTCAATCAACCTCTTTTTTATCAGGTCAGATGAATTCACGAGATTCTATCTATCTGGTTGCATCATTGACCACCCAGTCATATTTGGTTTAGTGCGACTCCATCTTGGTGGTACTGTTTGTTTTGAGCCGTTAAAAATTTCCTCCCCTAATTGTGTGCAGGTCGTCACCCATCTTAGGTCTAGTCCCCATCACGATCAATTCTAGGCAAATGTTGACACAATAAACGCATCCCACAAGTCTAAAATAAATGCTATACTCATCACAACATCATCTTCAATTCACAATTCCCAATGAAACACGTATTTCTGAATATATACCCGCACCTTTCTCCGTTAGGCCTGTCTCTTTTTGTGAGCACGGTGCGCGCATTTGAACCTCTGTTGAGAGCATGTCCCTAAGTCTGACCGAGTTGAACTACTTGGTGTGGCGGTATCTCCAGGAGCTGGGCTACGACCTCGCCGCCTATGCCCTTGACAAGCACCTGGAGTGCTCCCGGGCCACCGAACGCGACGACAATCCGTTGGTGGCCAAAGTATTTCCCGGAGCCCTCGTCGACTTGGTGCAAAAGGGGATCCTCTATACCATGACCGAAGAGGAAGTGGAGGGTAAACCCGAGCTTCTCACCCTCATGGGAAGCCTTTCTCATACCCCTCAAGACCCCCAGCTACCGCTAAAGCTGGAAGAAACCCCACACACTAATGGCACCACCGACACGCCGATGGAGGTCGATACCTGGCTGAAAACTGCTAACGGCGAACTGTTCACCACCAACACCCTTAGCCCTGTGCTTGAATTCACCCCCAGCATCTCGTTTGCATGGCACCCGCTGCTTCTGATCTTTGCCTGTGGAGAAAACAACCCCCAGGCGATTATCTCGGTGCTTAATGGCCAGCACCTGGCGGTAGTGGAACTGGTGACACTCACCCATCCAGCTCAGGCTGGAGGCGGTGCTAATCTGGTGAATATGGTGTCGTGGGTTCCCCTAGGGACGTTACTTGTCACTGCCTGTGCTTCAGGAGAACTCAGGTCGTGGTCACCTGACGGAAAGCTTAAAAACTTAGCTCCCCTTGGTGCTACCGGTGATCTGAGACTGCCACCATTAGCGTTAGCGCTTGAATGGCTGGATCTGGGCCAGTTCTTGTTACTGGTGGATACTCACCATCAAGTATCATTATGGGACGCTAACTTAAACCTAATCAAGTTGATTCGCACAGGAGACGCTAACCGCGACGACAAACACGCCGCCGTTTGCATCAGCTGGCTCAGCGAGCACAAATTCTGTGTTACCACTCGCAAGTACCTGATAAAAGTGTACAATATCTCCAACAATTTGGACGTCCACCCCATTGGTTCGTTACACGGTCACGACCACCCGATACTGAAGATTATCCGCAATACGAGTTCGAAGTTTTTGGCTACCGTGAGTGATTTTGACTACATAATTAAGATCTGGGCCGCAGGGGTGCTGCAAGAGTGTTTGGACTTAAATACGCCGCAAAACAACGCCAAGTTTCTCCACACATCACCGGTTATCGGCATGTTCTGGCTTGAGCCCGAGGGAGCATCGCAGCTGCTATTGCTTACAGTACTGATGGACGCTGTTCTTAATCTCTGGGATACCATTCTGGGTCAAAGCGTCATTTCGTGTCAACTATACAAAGACGCCACTCTATTTAGCGACGGCGAAGCCATCAAGCTTCCAGCGGTGTTGTTTAATGCCGATCTCAGTCCCAACGGCCAACTCCTCGCGCTTGCTGATGACTACGGTCGGGTAACCATTTGGGAATTAAGAGTATCGGCTCAGAAAGTGGTGTGTGTGGGCAGGTATACCATTGACATCCCCCACGGATCCCCCAAGGTTGGGGTGTGTGACTTGAAATGGAGTCGTGATCTGAAGCAAGTGGGCGTCAGCTACTTGGGCCACCCCAGTGTGCTTTTGCAAGTGTGAGCCCCGTGTATTATAATTGTATCATTAATGGGAATGGCTCTTCCAATTCGGTTACACTTGTTTGATTGGAGTTTGGGGGAGAATGCCCACTTTGAGGTCTGGCCCGGCGAGCATCCCGGCGTAATAATCGAAAGTGACGTCGATAACCACCACCACCCACTCGAAGATCGCATACCACGAGTACGCTCCAGGGAGCCGGAGTACTTTATGACGATAATAGTGCCATACTAAGGGTACCAAGTTGACGGCAAAAGCCATCACTAAACGTCGCAACGGTCGGGGAGATTGACTCCCCACACGGGCCTGGTGGATGCTGAGGCCATAGTACACCCCGGACAAGAGCAAGTACCCGAGCATGGCGTGGTCGTGCCAGTTATGGCTATCGGTGGAGGTGACATATATCCACCCTCCCGCCGTCACCGTGCGGGCTAATGCCACCGCTAAATAGATAGTCAGCGAGAACACTGTATAATTAACGAGGATAAGCGTAATTCGAGGCCCACTGGCAACGGCCAAAAGCATCTGGAAGAGGTTTCTCTCAGGGTACCAGTCGCCAATCGTCGCCAGCACGCTGGGGAACCACTCATCGGGGTAGGTATAGTCGGCGTTGGTGACGATTTTCTGGTAATGGAGTAAGCAGCCGACGACAAGCACCGTCGCAAACGCCAACGCCACGAGACCACAGTGGACCCGGCTGAGCGTGGCTACCTGGACCATGAGCACCGCCGCGCGGAACGCGTGTTTTGTAGCAGAAATATAAAGGACAAAGCACCATCACGCGAGCGATCCTACTGACGCCGATTGCTGCTTACACGTGTTCCTTGAATTATTACATATGCTGATGAATGAACGATTTCTACCTGAGCTCATGATCAGCTGGTTTCATCGAGTTTAGCTAAGACATGGAAGATTCGTTACTTCTCCGTGGAATCAACCTCAAGACCTCATGATATGATGCTGTCAATCTGTGCAAAATAACATAGTCGAACCTGCCCGATGGCTTCTTTTACTCCGAAAGTTTTGTCTCAACAGAAAGTACAATTAACTGAGGAAGTGATGAGCTACAAGATTTGGGTTGTGTTTGCAAACATCTCATAGTGGTGTCCACGAAAAGAGATTTTGAGACAAAGTATCTACGAGTTGCAAACAGTTTAGAGCGTTTATTTTAGGGGTTCCGTTACATTCGTCAAAAGACTATATCAAGAGGAGCATCACCCATGAAGATATCATTTGGGTCCACCAACTGATTTGTCGCGCCACCACCCCGTTCAACGACTTATCCTGTCCCAATGAGGGATCGCTAGTGGAGAACGATAGCGTATTGGCTTCACTGATTCTCGACACGATCGATACACTTCCAGAAGGGTCGCGTCCTCGGAGCAACTGGTTACGCTCCCAGGTGTAATTGCGATCAAGATCAAATCGGGCATTGGTGTCAGAGGCAGCCTCGCCCCACAAGTTGACGTTCCACCACCGCAAATCGACGTCGGCCCCCAGTTTCACATGGAGCTTCCACTCCCCCTCGGCTTGTAACCCCCAGAATTGCATTGTGGTAAAGTTCCATCCTCTAAAGCCACGCAGGTTTTGATCATCAACTCTTTCTTGAGCCAACTCAGAGATTACTCCCAGCGGTCCTTCAAGCATCACTCGAGTCTCGCCTCTCACCTCAGTACGGAGCCAGATCCATACCGTTACCTGTTCGACTCGGCCGAAATTGGATACTCTGACGTCGTCAGCAGTGATGGTGATCGTACGGACAATATCCGTATCCAGATCAGTGTTTTCCGGGTAGTCAAAGTCGGAGTGGATCCACGCGTGTGGGTTGACGTTGTCCCAGGAAATGGCACGATCAACAAGAGCACCAGCATCGACTTTACCGAAACCATACTTCTGCGAGTAAGGCTTGCCGAGCCCCGTGTCCTGCCAGGTACCGTCATCAGTATTAATCGGTACTGCTGTCAGAGCCACCAACCAAAACACATCTCGCCACGATAAATTGGGATTAGCTGCTAACGCCAACGCAATCATCCCCAGCACCATCGGCGTCAGTGCCAGTGTACCGGAAAACGTCAGTGAGCATCCGCCACCCATATCGGTGGTACGAATACCACCAGCACCGTAAGACACAGCCATCAACGCCGAGCACAGTTCAGCCCATTCGGGCATGATGTTCTTATCGTCAATAGCTCCAATCGCCATCGTCCAAATCAGGTTGGCGTAGCCGTCAAAGTTGCACAGATCGCCCAAGCGCCCTCCATTACCGGCAGCAAACACGTATATGTTACCCTTGCCGTCACGTCCGTCCAAACACGACAGGACGATCGCCCGTTGGACGTCGGCTTCCATCGGCAGAAGATTGTAGCCAGTATCGGGAGGACCAAAACTGCACGAATAAACTTGATTGATGTCGTTACGGTACAGCAACGCCCGTGCCTTTTGACGTGCCGGTAATGAGCGCCCGGTGGCGGTGGAGAAGATCCGGATCCCCGAAAGCTGAGCCCGGAAAGCGACGCCAACGCCACAAACATCATTGGCCTCAGCAGCAACGATACCGGCACAACGCGTGCCGTGTTCGTCGCCACTACCGGGTGGCGTGGGGTCATCAACGTCTTCCAAAAAGTTATAAGACCCTTCGGCATTTAATCGCGGTTGGATATCGGGGTGGTTGGCGTCGACGCCAGTGTCGACAACTGCCACGGTAACCCCTTCGCCGAGGATGCCGTAATTAGTCCACACCCCGGTAACGTTGATGTCATTGGTACCGATGCCGTTGCTTAAGTGCCACTGTTCGGAAAAGAGCGGGTCATTGGGGAGGTTGCGGCGCACCAACGCATGGTCAAGGCGGGGTTTGAGTTTGTTGAACGTCTCGTTTAGCCTGGGATTGGTGTCGATCACTGGTTTCGGCTCGTATCCGGGGTTGTCGTCATCGTCAACATTCGGTCTCAAATAGGCTTGGTTAGGGTTGGCGAAGCCGGTGTCGACGTCATCGCTTCTGGGTACGAGTAGCGGCAGCAACGTGCATACCGTCGACGCTAGCACCAAATAGTGAACCCAAACCATGGTTTAATACCATTATCAATTTGGGATTGCCGTCATTTTTAAGCCAGCGGTGGTAAAGGACAAAACTCGTCCCACATAGCCCAATGCCGGGAAAGTACAAGAAATTAGCTACAGCAGCGGAAATATTGCGTTAGTCACCCGTGTCGGAAAATACGAAGTCCCCATCCAGACCCCTCTGCCCCACATCTCCGGTGTCAACGGCAAGCACAGAAGCTGGGGGCTTGCAGCAAGGGTTTAATTACTCATCAGGGCCAAGACCTTAATAATTGCGTGGATCCGCTCAGCCACAACTGATCCAATTACGAGTAAATCGCACCACCTGTATTTACCCCCCACATCTGTCAACTTCTGACCCCACCCCCACGTAGTATAATTTTCTAGGTCTGGTTGGGAGATCGCAAATGAGGGCCTAGAACTAGCACCCGCAACTGTATAACCCGAACGTTGGCGAGGGGCTTGTCATCACCCGGAGACAGGGCACACAGCCTCGGGAAAGATCTTGGCACTGGCTCTCGCAGCGTGGAGATGCTCTAGATTGATTTATCAGCCCCGTTAGCCCTATAACTACCGGACACTAGATGACTACCGGCAACCGATGACCCTCGACCGAGCTTGTGTAACGGAAAACTGTGGTACACTTGTGGCAATAACTTGGTTTGTCATCATCACATAGATTTTGATCTTTGCGCTTTGAGTAAAAGAAATGATGGATCACCATTGCTGATCCTTATGGTTATCCACCACTGGGCAAATTAGTGTCATCCAGGACTAAATGCCACGGTGTTAGGTTTGGGAAGTAGATTCCGAATTTATCAGAGGATATTTACAACTATTTAACTTCGGAGTGTGGGTCTCGTGATTGATGCACCAAGTACCAGCCAGCGATCGATCTGAGAAACAGATCCCTTGCACATTCCGTGTTAACCCGGTGTTTACATAACACGAGATGGTTGGTGTTCCGTGATAATCGGGTATTTACATAACAGGACATGTTTGCAAGGACGCGGGCATTGGACATCACTCACGAGACATCAAGTGTTCTTGGTGAATACGAGTGAGAGGACCCGAGGGGAACACCCGAGGTATTACCCACCGATCCCAACGCACGGAAAAATTTCTTTCGTAGAAATTAGGAAAAATTATAGCGTGGCCTGGTTTCGATCCAGGGACCTTTGGGTTATGAGCCCAACGCGCTACCACTGCGCCACCACGCTTTCCACGACTTACTTTTGCGTTTGGTTGATCAGGTTGTGTAGATCCAAACGATCATTTTCGGTCATTCGGATCTACGTTGTTGATAATAAGTTGAAAAAGGTTTATTCAAACTTTCTGTGCCCCTTAACCGCCTATTTGCTGCTCACCATGCGCATTTAATGAAAATTTGACCTACTACAGTGAGGTTTGATTGGACCAATGTCATCTTTTCGATGTATCGATCGTTCGAGGAATGAAAACTAACTACAGCATATAAGGGCCAGCTGCCAGTGAAGGTGGATCTCTCTGGCTTACTAAAACTTATATATTGGCCGCAAAATCTTATGCAACTCATCAGATAACAAAGTCTCACGACACCACAAAATCAAGCGCAAAAGGGGACGCAAATAATTATCTCTGGAGCCAAGAAACTGTAACCCAAAAATATCCCCTTTACTAATGGCAGTCGACACTAATATGAGGTCATCAATTCTTGGATATTCGACCAGATTAGTAATCTGATTAGACTCACTCAATATGGGAAGGTGGCATTTTCCAAAGCGAGATTGACTGTAATTGAAATCCAGTTAGGATGGCTTTTTAAGGCATTGTCAGTAACACCCATGTTACACCCATCTTTGAGATTATTTCCCCCCATTAACGACAGCAAAAAATTATATTAACAAACTCAAGAAGTAAACAAGTCATCGTTTGATGGTTAAGTGCCTGCCTTCGTTTGACGTATCGCCAGGAACTAGCCGAGGGCCACGCAGGGACTATCATTCAACGCAGGGGTTATCGAGCGACTCATCGGTACACCATAGTAGTATAGTCCATTTTTCTAATCGTATTGATCAAGCAAAAGTTAGATTTTTGGCCGTGACCGATAGTATCTTGAGCGGTATCGTCTCGGCCAATCCTCATCTGTGCCACGAAATGTCGAACCCTCCTGCGGCATACTTCTCGGTAAAGCAGATAATTAGCGTTCAATAATGGTAATTCCGTCAACCGCAATAACGTCACCAAAAAACCTAAAAACGCTGGTTGATGATCAAGATAATCAATTCATGCCTTCATCGAAAATTCTTTATTATAGACCAAGGTAGTTCGTGGTCTCGTGCGCATGTATAGGCGGGGGTGGCTGTGTTTACGTTACAGAAGTCCGCTACGCCTTCTCTTACCCAGCCTCATTTTCCATCCCTGGAGAAACTACACAGCCTCGATTGCTAAAAACGGAATCTCCGATTGACTCCGAGCGGTGAGCTCCGGCTGCCGCTACCTTTATGCTCCTTCGACTACTTCTCGTCGTCAGCCTCTGGGTGCGCGCCATGGGACTCTTCCACCGCCATAAACACAACCAACAACCGCTTGATCCCCGGGCGCAGAAGGCGCTGCTCGATCACCAAAAGCAGCTGCCGGCGGCTCCCCAACTACACCCTCACCCGCCACCTCAGTGTCCCGCTCCGACGGCTAATGGGTTCAAAAACGTCGTCTACTTCGCCAACTGGCTGGTATACGCTCGCAAACACTTTGCCGCCGACATCCCCGTGGACCAGGTGTCCCACGTGTTCTATGCCTTCTGCCACATTGATGCTAACACTGGCAAACTCAAATTTACTGATGAATGGTGTGATTTGCAGCTTCCCATGGCTGATCCTCGCGATCCGCTGAAGAAAGTGGAAGGAAGCATTGCCCAGCTCCAAGCGCTCAAACAGACCCACCGCCACCTTAAAGCGGTGCTTTCGATTGGCGGGTGGGCCACCGAGGGTCAATTCCAGGGGATGGTGGCGCTGAAGGATAAGCTCAAGGCGTTTATCACTCTGTGTGGTGATTTTATTAAGAAGTATAAGTTTGATGGCATCGATGTTGACTGGGAGTACCCTCAGAAACATGAGATGGCGCTGTTTGTTGAACTTTTGGCGGGGATTCGGCGCGAGCTTGATGGTATTCGCCCGGGGCTCTCGTTACTGATTGCCGCTCCCGCAGGCATGGATAAGCTTGCCCAGTTCGACTTTCAAGGCATTGATCGCTACCTTGACTTTTGGAACGTCATGTGCTACGACTTTGCTGGTGGCTGGTCAACAAAGACTGGTTATCACGCTAACCTCTTCGGAGACAATGGCGATAACCCCCTCAATTGTCACGATGTCATTGATTACTACATCAAGCATGGCATCCACCCGTCACGACTCGTGATGGGGATGCCCCTTTACGGCCGTAACTTCTTTGGTGCTGCCACCGGTGACATCGGAGCCCCCTTCACTAAAGAGCGAGGCCCCAACCCTCCTGTGGACCAGGACACCGTCGACTACAATAAACTCATTCCTGGCCAACAGAACATGGACCCCCGCAAAGTCGGTGCTCTGGTGTACGATCCTAAGGCCCACTTATTCATCACCTATGACGACGTCCAGTGTACTCGGATCAAAGCTCGCTATATCCAGCTGAACGGGCTTGGAGGAGGCATGTGGTGGGATCTGGCGGGTGATACTAAAGATCCACAAACGCTGTTGGTGCAAACGTTCTTCCGGGAAATGGGGGGCCAGGAGAAACTCGACCACACCCCCAACTGGCTTGGATAAATCATAAGAATTATGTGTATATGGATGGTAAATTATAAACGAATTTCCCTACAAGATCGAGTCCATGCGGGCAAACACCGAGAACACGGCGGCGATAAGCTCGAGTTGGAGCTCCAGCACCCCGGCTTCGGCGCACTCGCGAGAGATCTCTTGGCCCAAGTTTTGCCCCAAGCCAAGAGGCGACGCGTGGTTGGTGTTGAACGGCGACTCCGAGTAGTCCTGGAGGATCTCGTCGGCACGGGCGAACGCCTGATCTCGCTTGTCGTAGTTTAAGTGCATCAACACGTTTTCCAACACGTTGGCGGCGTAGGCGCCACAGATGAGCGCCACCAGCCGGAGGTACTTGCAACTCGTATCTTTTTCAAACTGAGGGTTGCACACGGGGTCCAATTCCACCGTACGCTGGGTCAACATCGCCAACACCCGGTTTTTGATGTATTCCTTCAGCATCTTGTCGGCGACGGGGTGGGTGGCCATGTCGAACAAAATGAAGTTTTTTCTTTCGGTACGCAAGATCCCTTTATCGACAAGCCCCTTCGCTAACCGTTCTCTCACTTGTTTAAGTTGATAGTTGATCTTCATCAAGTTCCAGGTCTCCCCCGAGAGCAAGTCGATCCACAGCGTCACCAGCAAGTTCAGCTCGTCACTCTTCATAATTTTAAGCGCTTCGTCCAAAAGCACTTCGCCGGTAGGGGTAGCATCGATCACTTCGACAAGGCGGTCGCTAAGCTCGAACCTGCGGCGGGCGGGGTCATTGACTAGCGTGATGCGGTTGCGGAAAGTGAGCTCCAAAAGGATACACCCTCGGAGGGCGTACAGGATGTTATCGTTCCAGAAACTGAGGTAGCCTTCTTTGTCTTTCAACCCCATGAGCAACACTTCCTCCATCAAGGTTAAGAGCGGTTGGTGCAACTCCTTAGGGTCGCGGATGTCCTGGTCGTCGTAGCCGATTTTGTGGTCGTCGCCCGTGGTCTCGTCAATCAGGGTTTTGCGAGGCGTCCCCGGCAGCTGGGGCCCCTCGCTGGTGGCCTTGGCTCCGCGCCGTCTCGAAAGCGTCGACATGCCAGTTGTTCAGTCGCACGAAATTCGCAGATTTCGCTGGTGATATTCGTGGCGGAGGCTGGCAGTAAAAAGAGGCTGAGGGGCGGGATCGAGGGCAATTGGCGTCGGTGGTGTCTGAGGGTGGTAGTTTGGATATAGGTAGGCTTTAAGTTTGTAGAATGGAGTATTAGATTGAACGAAGAGACAAGGGAACGCGGGATGTGGTCCGCTCATCTAGTGTACTACTGGAGCTTGGTGATTTTATTGATTCGTCGCTTGATCTAGAAAAATGTAGATAGTATCGAATTTGTAAGCTTTGATTTCATTAAATTTATCGTTTGGGTTGCCGATAACTTCGAGATCAAAGTCCTAACAGACGCGTTGATGATGGGGTACGGTGGACACGCCCCGCGTCGAGATCAGACGCCTTTTCAGTTCATGTCATAGGATTCAGTGAAAAATTTTAACGTTGCCACAGACGTCAATGTCATGATACAAGTAATCTTTTTCCCAAATAAAGGGTTCCTCCACTAACCTTTTATGGCGACGAGTAGATTGGCGTAGTAGCAATTTAGATATGGGCCCAGTAAAATCAAATTCGTACTAAACTACTACCACTTAAGACTACGATGACTGACTTTGGCACCATTGGGTGGGCTTCAATCATGGTCGTAGCCCTCATTTCCCTGATCGTTATCGTTAAACGGTTTTGGTTAAGAAGTGCTCAATCTCAGCTTAGTAATGACGATGACCCCGATACGTTCCACTTATTGGCGATGGAAGCGATCAACGCCATCGACGCCGACTTTGATTTGGTGGTGGGAGATATTACCACTGTTGACTCCGAACTGAAGCCACAAACTCCTTCACAATCCAACTAATATCAGTCTAGGATCAAAGCCCTAATAACATCACATACTGAGATGCTGGCGACTACTTATTTTGACTAATCGAATGCGTCATGAATTGAAAACTTGTATCATATTTTCAAAGTGTATTTTTCATCTCAATCTGTCTACCTAATGGGTTTACTCTTCTCGTCGTCTGTTTTGTCGTACCCCTTGGCCGGTTGCGAAGCCCCCGCCTTATTCTGCGCGCGATCGCGTGGCATTTGCAACCACAACGGTTTTATATTCACACTGATACCCCATGGCTTCCAACGTCCACAAGCGTCTGGGGACGCTGTCCATGGACAACGAGTTGGACTATAACCCATTGACCACCGACGGGTCGCTCCCGTTCGCCCTGCAGGACGTGGAGGCGTCGCTGGCGTTCACGCCGAAACGGAAACCTCAACAAGAACTGTTACGAGCGGTCGACCGCCCAGCATTCTGTGTACTTGTCATCCTATATTTGCTTCAAGGGGTACCCGTGGGGCTTGCGTTTGGTCTGATCCCGTTTATCTTGAAGCTGAAGCTCTCCTACGCCCAGGTCGGGGTGTTCTCGCTCGCCGCCTACCCCTATTCGCTAAAGCTTTTGTGGTCACCCATTGTTGATCTGATGTACCTGAAGAAATGGGGTCGGCGGAAACTGTGGATTATTCCAATTCAAACCATTCTGGGTATAACCTTGGTGGTACTTGGTGGTTCGATAAACAAGCTTTTGGTGGATCCCGCGGCTCATTTGGGACAAATCACGGCTACTTTCTTTCTCCTTGTGTTCTTCTGTGCTACACAAGATATAGCTGTTGATGGGTGGGCCCTTACTTGCCTTAGTCCTGATTCGTTAAGCTTTGCTCTGACGGCCCAGACGATCGGTATTAATACCGGTTACTTCATGTCTTTCACGATCTTTTTGGCACTCTCATCACCTGATTTTGCCAATAAGTACTTACGTTCAGTACCCGTGGACCAGGGCCTCTTTACTCTCGGCCTGTACCTTACTTTTTGGGGATGGGCGTACCTTCTAGTGACGGTGATGCTCTATTTCGTTCCTGAAGACCCTGCTCATTTGAAAAAAGCTAATGAGGCTCGCCTCGAAACAGAAAAGGCAAAGTCAGAGTCGGTATACAACAAGCAAGCCGCCGGATGGAAAGGTAAATGGCACGATCTCGTCCACGTGTACCACACTATGTACCGAGTACTTAAACTCCCTAATGTGCAAACGTTTGTCATCATTTTACTTCTCGCTAAGCTTGGATTCCAGGCCAACGAAAGTGCCACCAATTTGAAATTATTGGAAAAGGGTTTATCTAAAGAAGACCTTTCCATCACCGTCCTCATCGATTTTCCCTTTGAGATTATATTCGGGTACTACGCTGCTCGGTGGTCTCAGGGTAAATCACCATTAAAGCCCTGGATCATTGGCTTTATGGGGAGACTCGCAGCGGCAATCATGGCTCAGCTCGTGGTGTACTTTTTCCCTAGCGACGGCAAAGTCACCAAAACATACTTTGTGATGATTATCATCCAGCATTTGGCGTCGTCGTTCATGTCCACCATCCAGTTTGTGTCGTTGTGTGCCTTCCACACCAAGATCGCTGACCCCTCGATTGGCGGCACCTATATGACTACCCTCAACACATTGCTGAATTATGGCGGTACGTGGCCCAAGATCATCGTGTTGTGGATGATTGATAAGTTTACGGTGCTGTACTGTCAACCGGTTACCGGTCTGCAATACTCGATCACTCTGAGTGATGTCAGAGCTCAATGTAAGGAAGCCGGCGGGGTGGAGGTGTTTGTGCGCGATGGGTTCTACTATACTAATGCCATTTGCATCGCCCTCGGGGTGGTGATCCTCTTCTGGGTGAAGCGGAAACTTGTACACTTGCAGCTGCTCCCCATCTCCTCGTGGCGGGTGTCGCGGGAGGAGTAGAAGCGAAACCAAAACTTTTAACGACAATAAAACGATATAATAGTAACTTTAGTGGAGCCAGTCCTCACTGAAACTCAATGTCTGATGATAATATGACGAAAGGCTTACCATTCCACTCAAGTCTAGTCTATTTGTACGGTTCGAGGGAATGATCACTGGCTTCAATTGCTGCTTGGACCTGATAGATATTCAATCGTGATTATAGAACGAAAGAAATACAAAATTACCAATACACTTCTTGTTGTAGGAGATCCTGCACACGGCCCCGACCCTTCGGTTTCCCTCGACCAACTAGCCGACGACTAGGGGGCTTCGAGGGAGGTCGTTCTCTCTTGAGCCCTGGCTCGCGTGACCCGTCTCTCTCTCTCTAGTATATAATCACCCCAGATCCAGTGGTAGAGGGGATCGGAACTTAGTCAGTTCAACTCTACGTCGCTGGTCTCAGGGGACTGTTAGCTAACGTCACTCAATTGACAGATCCTACCTACGACTGCCCCTTTTTCCTACCACACTTCTCTTAAGCCAGTCACTAAGACTACAGGAATTCGACTGGCTAGTAATATTAAGTAGAGGCATTGTTTGAAAGTTCGATGAACTGGACAGATTCAAAACGATATCATTGACTCACATGCTACTACTTTACTGATTGATTTTACGAGTAAATCAGATCATGAGATTCGAGAATTATTTATAAACCTTCCCGAGCTCGTTTTTTGCTTCTGTCTCAGATAATATTCGCAATAGGTCTCAGATCGCTCCTATTTTTGTATCACGTGATCAGATCACCGTGATTAATAAAAATAACAATACATTGTTCCCTCAGTTCCGCGTCACTGGATCTTGCCTTATCATCGTGGCGGGAAAAAACCGCCACCAGTTGCCACCCGCGACTACTACTACAAATACATGTCTGATTCTCCCATTTTTTCATCAAAAAGAAATAACTGATTGTATTTCCTTCTTTGCCTCAATCCCTTCTACTCCCCCTCTCAGTTCATTATGACGCGGTAGCGTGTTTTCGATCACCGTTGCCAGGTGCGGCGGCGGGTGCGGCGCGGGTGACTAAGCTGGGTACCCCCCACGTATAACACCCACCTGGGCTCGCCTCTCAATCGAGGTTGAGGATTTCCTTTGAACAACCGCCCACCTCCCTCTCTGTTTTGCCACTTCTTAAATTACCAATGGGGGGCCACAGACACAAGCGGGAGCTGCTGGGGCTGAACCTGGTGTCGTCGGGGCTCCGCTCCTCTCCTGGAGACCGCAGGCCGCTCATGAGCCACACTCAGGCCCCCACCACCCCTAAACTTGAGCTTCCTGGGGCCAATGAGCCGTTTGGCCGTTACCGTCTGCGACTGAAGTTGGGTACGAGACTGCCAATGGCGGCGAGAATAACGCCGGGAGGGTGGCAAGGCGAGGGGCTGCTGCTTCTTTCAGGGGGTGGTGACCCCGACGAGCTGTTCTACCTGCTGTACCTGGCGATCAACACATTTATTCGAGGGTACTATAATGATTTTACCACTATTGATGGCGCTAGGGCGTATATCTTAACTAACCGGTTTAATTATGGGGTTAAAAAACGAGTGTTTTTGGAAGACTGTCCCGATGATATACGCCCGATGCCGTGGTACTATGTCGTCTACTATACCTGTGGCAAATGGGTACTCATTGGTATTATTCTGTTGCTTTTCAGTTTGATTGCGTTTCTGATTGACAAAATCGAGATCTTACTCGTGGGAGCTAAATACGGCTACTGCAACACCAACTGGTTTGCTAGTCAGGTCACCTGCTGCGATGTCGCCGACCAGCACGACCGCTATTGTCCTCAATGGGTGCTGTGGCTGGACGCCATGCACTCAAAGTGGATGCCTGTGGGTGTCCGCTTTGACTACGTGGTGTACGTGGTATTGCTGATTCTCCTTGCCTGGATAGCGTGCGAAATTACTCTTACCACTAAGATCGTCGGTGGATCGACATTGTACCCAGAAAACGGTGATAGCGTCGCTAAGGGAAAGCAGGAGCCACGAGTTATGTATACTGCGTGCGGGCTGGGGGTGCCTGAAGTGAAAACCATCTTACTGGGGTTTGTCATTCGTCGGTTTTTGGGGACGTATACTCTTTTCACTAAAGCCATTGGCCTCGTGTTTGCCATTGCTCTGGGGATGTGTTTGGGTAAAGAAGGTCCATATGTCCATCTTGCCACCTGCGTCGGTAACATCCTGCTGAGATTATTTCCTTACATTCACAACAACGACTCGATGAGAAAGCAGATTTTATCGGCAGCAGCGCTGGCCGGTGTGGCGTTGGCGTTCGGCAGTCCCCTCGGCGGGGTGCTTTTCATTCTCGAAGAGATTAATCATTACTTACCATCACATCAGCTTTTCCAAATCTTTGTTTGTGCTATCGTGTCCACATTATTTCTCAAGTTTCTCAACCCTTACGGCACCGGGAAAACTGTGTTGTTTGAGCTTAGTTATGATAGTGACTGGCGCCCGCTTGAGTTGGTCAATTTTGTCGTTATCGGGGTTGCAGGTGGTCTTTTCGGTGCAGCATTTATCAAATTTACCTTCTGGTGGCCAACCAAGTTCCGCCAAATCAAGCTTATCAAAAATCATCCGGCGTTTGAAGTGGTATGTGTTGCTGCTCTCACCGGCTTGGTCACCTACTGGAACCCTTACACCAAGCAAGCACTGCTGGAGCTTGTGCTTGATTTAGCCACCCCGTGTTCGGGTGAGCGTGACCGCCTGCTTTGTCCTGGCACCGAGACCGCGCTTCAACGAGAGTTGGGTCTGCTAGTATTTGCATTTGTCGTCAAAGTGGTACTCACATTTGTCACTTTCGGGTTGAAAGTGCCCTGTGGTGTGTACGTTCCGCTGATGGTAGCAGGGGCATTGTTTGGTCGTATCTTTTCCATGGCGATTCAAGGGCTTCATCTCCGTCACAACTTGCTTACCACCAGCAACAACGAGGCAGTGCTGGCGTTACTTTTGCGTTACGTGTGTTCGCCTGATCGCCCCGAGTGCGTGGATATGGGGATCTATCTGATGATCCTGGCCGGCGCGTTTATGGCGGGAGTTACCCGGATGAATATCACCTTAGTGACAATTTTGTTCGAGTTAACGCTGTCGTATACTTACGTTCTTCCCATTGCGGTTGCCATTTCGGTGGCCAACTGGGCTGGAGGTCTCATTGAGCCCCACCTGTTGTACGAAAAGTTACTCATCACTAACGACTACCCGTTTATGACCCTGGAAAACGAGGCGGTAGACCCTTATGTTACTGCTGGCGAAATCATTACCGATAGAGACACCGTCGACGTCCCTCAAGAAGTGGTTACCGAGGTCGACATGGACCAGCGGATATTCCGACGGCTTCTGGTGATTACCCTGCTTGCCACCAACGCCGATGATAAACTTTACATCGATGTCCTGGAACTGCCGTATGTGGCGGCGCTGTATTTGGGGCTGAAACTTGCACTCCTTGCTGAACACCACCTGTTTGATGGATGCTTGCCTTTAGTGCGTAACGGGCTCTGTGTGGGGCTTATCCATTACCTGGAACTTGACTTTTGTCTTGACCAGCTTCGCGAATTTGCTGCTGAGTATCACATTACCGACGAGATCCATTGTCTTGTGGTGGACGATAATGATCGCGCTTACCACAAAAAGCGAGCAATCATCGCCCAACAAGTGGGCAATAACTATGCTATTGTTAGCAGAGTGGTTGAAGGCGGTGATGATGCTCGTGATTACTTTACTTACGGCGCTACCGCGGGTGACATGGACTCGCCGGTGGCGATTCTCATGGCTAAATTAACCAACCTCGTACCCTACATCGACCACAGCCCTATCTTCTTGAATTACGACTCGGAAATGAGCTTCGCCAACATGATATTCGACCGCCTTGGCAACCGAGTGATTGTGTTGTTGCGTGAGGGTAAGTATTATGGCATTTTGCACAAAAAGGTGTTGATCGACTATTGTCGCCGTGGGGCTTAAACTTTTGCATTATATACATTTATTAAACATTCATAGAAACGGATTTGCAGCATGTTCTAGGAGTTGTTCTCCTACATTATTGTAAGAATTTTTAGTCGACGGTGTGAAGTAGTATTAAATCCAATCGCTAATTTTTGTGGAGATGAAAAACTATAGAAAAAGTGAACTCAACAGGTTCCTTCTCGTTTGAATTCTACATGATTTACTGTGGAGACATTTGCGCTCAACTGATTCCTGTACTACTTTTGTCAGTCTGAGGACTTTCTGCTTAGTTTTCTCGTATTTCAAGTGTAGTATTCCAGAATCCTTCAAACATCGTCAGGGTTACAGGGTAATGGTGTAATTTATCGAAGTAGGTTGAGTTTTAATTTGCTTCTGCGCCATTGATGGGTGTAGCTGTAGTTGCACCTCTCACTTGTCGGCAGAGGAAGTGTGAAATCCATACCCTTGACTAGGAGAATTGTTACAAATATATAATATGTTATCACTAGCTATTAAATGCCATCCCACCGACAACTCTTGGCGGGCATCCATTCAGGCGCTGACACATGATTCGTTGTCCATTAGGGGGAAGTAAACGTAACAAGGAGAATCTCTGTGTATTTAACAAGAATAATACTAATTAAAACAAAATTACTAAGAAATGAACCGAAACACTCTCCTTGATATGATTCACGTGTAGTGGGATGGCGGTGTCCCAACAGAAACTCATATGGCAGCTCCCAATTAATTACCCATACGTGACGAAGAAGAAGTCTCACAGCAGAAATCGTAGAAAGCTCCTTAGGCTCGGGTTTACAATCGCTCACGACGAGACCGCTGCCCCCAGCAACGAATATGACCCACTTGTCGTTGTCCTGATAAGCGCCAATTTCTGGGGGAATTTGAAGGTAATCTGGTTAAGCTAGTCGTCTTTGAGTCCATACCATAACACTTGTGGTTCATATTTAGCCCTCACATGCGAGTTATTTCAGGCATCATTGTTCTGAGGTCTAAGCTCCTTGAGTCCTTCAAAAATGTCACCACCTCGGCAACAAGGTCCGCCTGAGGGTTTTGGTAATCAGAGCGAATACATCATCTTAGGCAAGGTGATCAAACGATATCATGCCAAGCACATCGACTACCATTAAGATCACGATGATCGACTTATAACCGCAGGTTGAAAGGTTATGGAAGGTGTGGCCATGACAACTATACCCAACTCACCCCTGCTCATTACGAATTACATATGGCCACACGCCTTATGAGTTTGACAACCACAATGTTTAAGAACTGGCGTACCCGACGTGTTAATGAAGCAAAAAGGTAAATGTGGGTGTGGATGATTTAGTAGAGTTTTTGTTGCGAGAGCTTTGAATGAAGATGGAGAAGTCATCGATTGTCTTGTGGGAGTCGTGTCTGTACCCCAGCACACTGAGACAATGTAACCGCCGGGGTATCAATTCAGGGTGAATGTTGATGGACTTTTCCATGTTGCGAAAAAACCCTTGACCGGGCTCCCAACCGACGGGGCAGTTTAGCCACAAGTACGGATCAAGGGCTGGGCAGTTGAAGCAGCTTTTATGTTGATCCGATACCATCACAGTGAAATTGTGAAGTGGTCACGCAAATAATAGAATTCTCCCTCGAGTTCATTCGCCAATACATTCCTTCATAATTAGAATGCGATGCAGTGAAATCGGTCCACAAACTCTGCGAAGATCAACCTGATTGTTAAAACCTTTCATAATTACTATTAAAGTCAAGTTCAGTTCGTATATTAATACGTAGCATTTGTTATCTTATTTGATTCAAGCGAAAGATACCTTTGAAACCTTATTCATTTTCGGTGTCAGTGTCCAGGCCTGAGTTACTGGACGGTGACGAATCCTCCATAATTCGAATGAGCTCATTCCACAGCTCCCGGAATGAATCCAGCTCTATTTGAGGCTGAATGAACCGCAATAACTCGGTGAGACACCGCTCTTGTGTGTTCATCGATTCATTTTGGTATCCAATGGTATCTTTTTGATGCTTGATTGTTTGATCCAAGATTGCGTTATTAGATTCAATCAATTCCACATAACGATTTTGCGTTTCGGCAAAGTTGGTTTCCTCTAAGATGATTTTCGCTTGCAGCTCAATGGTATCATGTTGATTTGCCATGACGTGAGCCTGCTCTTTCATAACACTGAGGTGATTGTCAATCATGAGTTGCTGTTGCTTTATAGTACTGTCTTGAGTCAGTATTCGCCGTCTCCAAGTCAAAATGGCTTTTTGGTACTTTCTGAGAATTTGAGATTGAAGTGTCACAATGACAATGATTAATGATCCAACAATCACCATCATAAAAGTTTCAAATGGATTCAATTTCAAGCCATCCAGATATGGAGTAAACATGAACGCAATTTTCCACACAAGACAAGAGACTTGTTCTGAATTAGCCGATGGGAACACGAGGTTAATATGGCCACCGACCGGAGTAAGACAGCTGAAAATCACGATTGCCAGTCGGGTGTCGGTAAGGTTGAATGATTTCTGATCAGCATGTGCCGAGAACGCCGTGGTATCCTTCGAATTGGTGCTAGTTGCGATGCAACCAGGGAACTGACAGACACGGAAAACCCACACTAAAAGAACAAACATCAAGACCAACATCGACATTACGACTTTAATCGTGGTGGTCTTGATGGTAATTGCAAGGTAAGTGTGAAGCGCGAAAACCTCACCCCTGACCAACTCTTTGGGAATGCTCGAAATTAACTACTAAGGAATAAAGTTTGATCGAGACGTTCTTCTATACAGAACCACATTTGGATTTGGTAAGTACAAGTCAGTTGTCAATTTTTACGGCGGTGGTTTTTTTTTTTTAAAGTCAAAATTACATTGTTGTCGTTTATAATCGAAATCCAAGTTCACTAGCTGTGACAATGTCACAGTGATATCGGGGGAATGACCGAATTACGAAAGCTTCAACAACTTCGTTTCTTGAATTACACGATCTGACTATCGTGAACTTGCTGGTTGATATTTAGTCATGACCAGACAGTGCATAATCGCAGTCTCCTCATCCATAAGAGGAAACAACAAGAAACAAAAAACGAATCCAGGGGGCAAAAGGTGGAACCCGGTGCCATCAAGTAATAATCAGAGAGCTGAAAGCAAAACTTACTTCTCTAAAATATAAGGGTAAAGAAGTCGCTTTCATTCCTACTTCATGTCGACCCCCTTAAGAACCACTCCTTATTGAAGATGCATCTGTCCCGGTTGCTGAAACCGAAATTGACACCATCTGATCAGCCTGATATCCTGGTTCTCGCTTCTATTTTCCGTTGTAGGCGGCATAGCTACAAAACACTTCTCTGTGTTCAATGATGAAAGGGGCTTGAAATTATGATGGCCGTCTTGGACTACCGGTGTCATAACATTACATTACAGAGGAGGTCTCAATGATTTTAATTACTACTTATGAAATGGTTCTATTTCTCATGATATTCGTGGTTATGCTTTAATCACTGCCGAAAGGGTTAAGCACCCGTACCGTCAAGCAGGGCAACGCCATCCCGATCTCGGCCCGGATCAACACCGGCACCTGGTGCAACTCCTTGATCACCTGGATACACAGGTCGCCTTCCACCTTGGTGATAACGTGTTCCAAGTACGGCTTCACCCCGTCGCCTTTAGGCGGTTCAAGGTTGGGCGCCTTCATCCCGTAGTTCAGCAACTTGTCCTGGACCATCTTGTAGATCACCTGTTGCTGGCGTTCTGACTGGGTCTGCGCCGCCTCCCGGGCCAGCAGCCGGTGCTTGTTCTTGATCAGGTTGCGGTAAGAGAGCGACAGCTTTTCGTCGGGGGGTACGTAAGTGGCAGCATCAACACCGCGTTCCCAGTAAAGCTCGAGAACACGGTCGTTCTTGTCGAACTCAGCTTTAACCAAGGGCAACTGATCCCCATGGACCCGCTTTTCGACGCCGAACTCAGGGATGACCACGTCGAACGCCAGCTCGTAAACCTGGATCACCGTACCCATCACCAACAACTGGCCCAGGGTACCTGAAAGCTCGTTGATGGTTTGCGAAAGGAGTAAGTGGATGGCTTGCTCTTGAGCCTGAGCACCACAGTCTTTCTTGAAGTTGCAGTAATCAGCGATGGCTTTGAGCGAGTCCAAATCGCGCTCCTCATCCTGCTTGTTGAGCACCAACTTAAGCTGGCGATGAACAATAAGGTCAGCGTAGCGGCGCAACGGCGACGTAAAGTGAGTGTAAAGGGGCAAGTTGAGGTAGTAGTGCCCGTAGCCCTCGGGGTCCTGTTTGCCAGCGACGTAGTACTTCGCGCGAGGCATACACTTGTACAACAAGATCTCCACACACTGGCGTTTCACAGGGTCGTCGACGGCAAGAATCAGGTTTTGGAGGGTTGCCAGGTTGGTGGTATCGAGCTTCACTCCTAACAAGTTCAGCGCCTTGCGCAAGAAAGTTTCCATCTTCTGCAAAGTCGGCAACGGGTGGCGGCGCAAGAGGGCCAACTCGCCTAAACCAGCGTGGATCTTAGCGGCAATGGCACCGTTGACCTTGTGGCCAATTTCGGAAATGACGTCGAACGCCAACAGGTCATCAAACACATTAAGCAGGAGGCGGGCGCGCTCGTCGTCCAACTGGTCCAAAAGTGTCAAGTTGGGCTGGTTGCCGAGATGACGGTTCTCAAGCCGTTGGCGTCTAAACTCCTTAGCGATAAGAGCAAACGTCTTAAGGTAGTCACCGGTACCAGCGTTAACACCCTCAGCATCACGACCGTTGAGAATGGCATCGAACACGTCGTAACTCACCGTTTGCTTGGGGACGATGATCAGCTCGTGAATGTACAAGTCCTCGACTTCGAAGTTGGCGGTGTCAATCTCAAACACCACCAGCACCGCCAAGTTCTTCTGGTTGGGCTTGAACAGCACCGCGTCGTTGACGTGGTTCGGGTACACGTGGGTTGTGCGCTGGGGCAAGAACACCAGGTGCGACCGCTTCTTGGCCTTGCGGTCCAAAATGGTATTGGGCTCGACGAAGTGGGAGATGTCGGCGACGTGGAAGCCAAGCTCGATCTTCGTATTCAGCAATCGCTTCACGTGCATGGCGTGGTCGATGAATTGCCCCGTTTGCGAGAACAGAATGATATAATCATGGGCATACTCGACGCGGCGATCGGCGCTAAGCTCGTCGTCCACCGAGGGGAGTTCAAACGTAAAGTCGCCGTCGGCCCCGTACTCGTCGCAGGCAAAGTTGTTGTCGCGCAAGATCAGGTCGATCTCGGTGACGGGGTCCTCGATCTTGCCAAGCTTCGTCACCAACGTACCGAACGGGTGGAGCGACGTGATCGGCCAACGTTTAATCAGGGCAATGAAGAGTTCCAGGGCATACTTTTCGTGGTTTTCAACAAAGTCCTTTGGCGCTTGTTCGGTGGGGATAGCGATAAGGGGCACTTTCTTATCGGTGGGCTTGAACCACACGATCTTCGGCGCTTTAGGGGTTTGCACCAGCGAGTCGCGGCCATTACGCTTATCCCGTGCTGCTTGTGCTGCTTGTGCCGGGCGAAGAAGGCCAAGGGTACCGGCGAAGAGCTGGCCAGGAATACGGTCGACCACCGCCACCACGTGACCAGCGTACAACGGCTTGATGTCGTCGTTAATCTCTTCTTCTTCAACTAACAACAACAGCTGGCCTTCCACTTCAACGTCGTCGTTCTTTTTCAAGGTAGGTCTTTGCTTCAACGAACCCCGACGGCCTAATGTAGAAGCGCCGCTAGAGTCGGTGGCGTTGTCGTCTTCAATCACTTGCAGCAGCGTTTCCTCGCGGGTCATGGTGGTGGTATCGTTGTGGATATCGTCGTTGACCACCCCCAGCTTCGCCTGGGAGAAGTTCTGGTCCTTGCGCCGCTTCTTCTCTTCCTTCTCCTTCTTCAGCTCCCACACTTCATCGACGACAAGCAATTCCACCGCCACCAAGTCGCCTTCAAGCGCCCGGTTACGGTCCTTAGACCCACAGATGAAGATGTCGGCGTCGAGAAGACCGTCGGTCAGCACGTAGGCGTCACTACGGTTCTTCTTGTTCACTCTCAACGTACCGGTGACAAGCCGGCCTTCGTTGATGAGATCAGGAAGCAGCGATTGCGGGAGGTAAGGCGCGAAAAGCAGTTTGCGCCCGTTCTGGTTCTGATTGGGAGGCGTATGCGATTGCTGGTTGGGAACAAACAGGTTCATCAGCAGCATGCTGCTCAGCCCGCCGTACAGCGAGTTACGCAGACGGTGGCCGGGGACAAACTGGGGCGGTTCGAGAGCCAGGTTATTGCGCGAATGGCGTCCAACACCGCCGCCTTGGTGGTGAGGTTGCGGCGGAGCAAGGTCCTGGGCAAGCGCCAGCAGCAGCTGTTGCTGCGCCCGCCAGTTCTGATTGATGTTGGCGTTGTCGAAATTGCGCAGGTTAGTGCGGTAGTGGCTCAGGCGGCGCAGATGGCCGCCACCACTGCTGGGGGCGTGGCCGTGGGCGAAATTGGGAGTGGGAGGCACTAATGACGGCTGTCCTTGATCGGGAGGAAACTTGAACAGCGGTTGAGCTTCAGTAGCGTCAGGAGCATCAGGGGGAAATTTAAACAGCGGCGGGTCCTCGGTGCCCAGAACCCCGCCAATGGGTACTTGCGGCGGCGGCGCGGGAGTATTGCGGTAGTTCTGTACTTTCTGGTTCGCCGCGGCTTTAATCGCTTCATTTAAACCCAAGGAGTGACGGCGAGCGTGGCCGGGACCCAGCAGCAGCCCCGTGCGGCGGTGGCCCCCTTGAGAAGTGACCAGCGAGTTGCGCGAGTGCTGGCCGCGATGGTACTGTTGTGGTGGGGGAGTCAACTCCGAGCCGCTGCCACTACCGCCTGGAGGCGGCGGGTACTGGTACTGCTGGCTCATCTGGTGCTGCTGCAAGATCTGCTTCTGCTGGAGCTGGACCTGTTCGAGCTGGCGCTGCAAGTTGTACTGCTCGACCATCAACGTGGTGAGCTCCAGCGGCAGCCGGCGGTGGGCAATGTGTAAGTTTTTCTTGTTGGTGCCGCCTGGGGGTCCTCCTGGCAGCACCGCCGGGAGGTTGGGCAATGGCGTTCTGTCGTCTTTGCCACTCATGGCAGGCGGATGCGGGGTGGGCGTGGGGGGTTTGCAAAGGGGTAGTGAGCGAAAGTGACCGAGTCAAGTAGGTTGGTTTGGTAAGGGGGGGTATAATGGCACAACGGCGGCTCGGTCAGTCAGTCAGGGAGGGGGGGCAAAGTTCGCCAGGTGGTGAGGTGGAAGGATACGGGTGGGTGGAAAAATGAGAGCCTTGGAAAAAACCTGCCAGGTAATGCGAAAAGTCGACAGCAAAGACGGGGTGGAGAATTGAGATAGAAAGTGGGGAATATAAGTGAATTGAGTGGAGAAATGAAATCAGCGGGTCTGGTTTATTAAGGTTGGATTGACAATGGGAGTGATTGCGTCGATGCTGAGTAATTGACGAGGGTATGAGTGTGGGTGTGTATTCGTGCGCTTTCGATACCTTGTCGTCGAGGGGCGATAACCTTTATGGTTGCGCAGCCCTGGCCTTCTTCATTAATATATTCCGTCCACCAGGCAACGCCCATTAGTCGGTGACCCCAGCTTATAATCTGTACAATCATGACAATGACGATGGTACATTTATTGTCGCTTCAGTTGCATGACGTTGGGGCCCTCAATGGTCCTATCTAGCTGCCTTTTCTCACTCTAGTTCTTTGTGAGCGATCGCACTCAGTGGGCCTCGACCCCGATCTATAAAAAGCAACCTCATCCCGGAGCTCTCAAGTTGGTTACCCGCCAAGGCAACCATCACGGACTCGGCAGCCAAGCATCCGTTCCCCTCGAATCGGTCAACCACACTGAATAATTGATGATTCCGGTTGAAGCTACGGTAACTACGAGCTGGGAGGGGTGCTTTCTTTGGCCTTGGCCTCACATCGTGCAGCAGGGGTGCTGACGGCTAGCTTCATGTCGCAGACTCTCGGCTACGCACTCGCACGGGGTCGCCCGCAATTATCAGTGCGACATTGGGTGGGATGAGGCCACCTGGCATCAGGTTGTGGTGTGACTTCCATTGGCATTGTATTCACTCAATGGTATCAATTGTTTGATTAGATGGATTTGTTCATTTGGTACAGGGTGGTGAAGCCGGTGATTGGTCGACCTCATTTCCAGTTCTCTTGAAAGACTACGAATAGTGGACCAATAAATGGGAAATATACGAGTATTATTGTCGTCACTGAATTATTCGACTTGGCGCAGATTTTGTTCGCTTGTTTCGTTATGAATGGGGTCTTATTTAGACGAATGAGATTGTCGTTGAAAGAATTCAACGCTAATGTCATTTCTCAGACTGAACTTAGTACTACAAAGAAACTGTCAGATTCTCGCTTTGCAAAGTTTCAAATGTCTATTCAATGTGCATTCTAAACAAGAGGTACACTCACTAGCAATTCAAGCGATTGTGGACAATGGGCTTCATTTTCCAAAAAGTAACTCATCACCATGATTCGCCTGAATTCAAAGTTCTGAATTGAACTCAAACTGACATCAATGTGACAAACCCCAAACTGAATTGTCTCCAATAGCACTTAGTATGGTGAATTGTTTTCGACCATTACATGGAAGACCGTTTGGACTATCGTTACTCAACTACTACGTCGTTTAGACTACGGAGATGATTTGCTGATGTTGACTTGTATATGTCCCGTGATGATTTGTTTATATACGATGATAGTAATTAAGTTGTGTTTGGGTCAACCAACATGGTCCGGTGTCGTACGCAGACTTTCATTCGAATAACGAAAATTAGCCGTGGAGGGGTACCCCGTTGTAATACCTAATTGATAAGTGTAGCAGCTGTCGTTGATCGCGTACCTGGCATTAGGTCTCAAAGGTGACGGTGTCACATTCACCACTAGCAAGGTCAATCACCACTACCTCACCAGTGTGCTTGAACAGCGGTACCAGCACCAACAACTCGCCGTGATCACCCTTCGCAGTCTCAAATTGGCGCTGATTACCCACCATATATATGTGAGGAGCCATCTGCGAATCATTAATGACAAACGGGTCGTGGTCAACGTAAGGGTAACAGTAGAGAGTGTCAGGAGCAGTAGGAGCAATGTTTTGCCACTTTAAGGTTGCCGCCATCACCGAGGTGGTCTTACCGAGCTTTTCAGCATCGTCAGGGGCCACATACTTTTGGATGTCGTTGATGGTCTGACCAGCAGTCAAAAGCATTGTACGTTGACCTAATTGAAGGTATTGAGGGTTTGTGAGCCGTGTGAGCCCTGCCAGCGCCCGGGCTTTGGCAAACACACTGGGATGGAGCGGTTGTTGAGGCATGCAAATTTCTGCCGGGTCCAGCGGGCCGGGCATCACCATCACCGGCACCAGCGTCACCAATTGAGCCACCCACCGGTCAAATTTAGCGATATTGGTCGGGTCAAATCGCAGAATGTTTTTGGTGCCGTAGTTATTTGTCAGCACAAAGTCGTCGGTAGCCTCTATCGGCTTTTCCGCCACCAGATTTCCCAATATAATGATCAGAGTAATCTTGGCAGCATCATTGACATCACCAAGATCACCCATAACGTATTGTTTGAGTAATTCTAGGCGTAAATCACTGGCGACATCTCCACCTTCAACCAATGCTCCCAGCATCACCAACACTTTACCCTGAGTAGCTTCCAGGTCATTTATCAGCGGTGGAAGTATCGGATCAGGGTGGACCACGTCCAATATTTCGAACACCCCCGCATTCACTTCCACCCCCAAAATACCCACTGTACACCCGGTAACCAAAAGATTTTCAGCAAAAAATTTGTCGCCGTGAAGCACCACTCGCCCAGACTCATCCTCAATCATCACTGCCCCCCGAACTTCGGGATCGGTATACGTCAGCGGCTCCTGAGGCAAAACGTCATCCACCCCATGTTCGACGTCTTTAAAAATATTAAGCTTGTTTTTCAACTCACAGAAGATCGTACCCACCACCCAGCACACTTGCCCCGCTCGTATATCGAGAATTTTATCCTGGCGGACGATCTTTTGCCCCTTGTATTGGTCTGACGACACGTCCTTGGTGCCGTCCCCCCACTTGGCCATAGCGGCTTTCATCACCCGAGGCTTGAGCTTTTGGTAGCGGTAGCCATAGAGAGAGAAGTATTGATGGTTGTAGTTGCGGCCAGCGTCGGGGAGCTGGTACTGAGGCGATACCGTAACCTCGGTGGTGGTGCGGTCCATATATATGGGGCAGACGCGATGACGCGTCGCTGATATCAGGGAAAGACGAAACAAGGCCCAAGATCGAAAAGACTAGAATTTACTTATAAGAAAGCGATACATGGTGTTTGTGATGTTTTTTAATGATAAGTAAAAACAATTGAACTTTCAATCCCTTGAGTTGTTGTCGAAATCCATCAATGTCTATCACTGACGATTTACCTCTTATATCATTCACACACACACACAGAATACTTAGCGGAACCTTAGTGTCACTGATTGATTACTTTTATTTCGTATTTTTAATTATAAGTCTATGATTGTCTAGGAAAATGAGGTGGGCACTACTTGGAAAGGTCACTACCAGCTTGCGATTCTTCACGTGGTTGTCTAGGTCGATGGGAATGCTTTCTACGGGAACCAGACTTTTTGTGACGAGCGGGAGGGGCATTACGATCAGGAATGGAGCTTTCGGAACCATTGTTTGTGTTGTTGACTGAAGACTCTGACCCCTCCTCAAGAGTATTGGCCCATTGCACGTACTCTTGAGATAACATCAATGCCACCTCCGGATGCTCTTCGACAGTGGTGGGTTTGATCGTGAGATTCTCTCCGTCTTTCACTAGGACAAAGTGTTCGGGGACATCGTCATTACCACAGGCAAGAATTTCTGTCAGTAAGCGAAGCCACTGAATCAAATATGCTAGGAGACGGTTCATGTACTTCCGCAGGCATGCCCGGGTTAACTTACCTCGTCGTTGAGGGGCCTTTTCGAGGGCATCAACCGTCACCACATCTAGCAAATGATGAGACTGTGGGTCACGATGGCCCACCACTAATGTACTCACACCACCAAGATAGCACTGAATTCTCGCTTTGGTGATTCGTTTGCGATCCAATGATACCCACAGCTTCAATTCGAGATAGTTGTTGAGCACCGAATAGGCATCAAACTTATTGAACTCTAACAGCTTGCACGCGTCAGCCTCGGAACTGCTGAGAACTCTGACTGTTTTACCATCAATCGTTATCTGGTGCATCACCATTGAGTTGTACTTTGTGGCATTGGTGGTTGGCGGCACAAATTGCCGCTCTGTCATTATCTGTTCGAAGTTGTACCCTGCCATAGTCCCTGGAGACCGACTTATGCATGTCTTCTTGTATAACTCAACGTGTAATCGACCTTTGAATCTCGTCAAGATTACTTTTGAGCCACTATCGATCCCTTGAAGACCAAAACCATGGCACATGAGCTGAACCATGGTATGGCGGGAAAAGATAACGTCAGCATCAAGTTTGCGGTTGTTCTCCACTTCCCATAACCGTATAGCTTCGAGTTTTGATCCTCCCGGAGGTCGGGCCGTTTTAGGAACAAACTCGTACCTTCGCCACCCTCGACTCAAATCAAACTTTTTCAAGTAATTGACTGGCCGATTCAAAAATACTTTGGCTTCGCTTCGATCAAGGGCAACGTGGTCACCAACATTAACCGAGTAATGTAAATGTTCCCATGGCGGCGTTCTCTGGAGGTTACGCCAGTTGTCCAAAGCCGATACCCATTCAGGGGAGCGAAGCTCGCTCAAATTCAAAGCAGCAGCCTTACTTGCTCTCTCTAGACGGTCCTGAATCGAAATCTGAGGAGGTGTTGGCTGTGGTGGAGGCACTTGAACTTCATCAACCGAGGGAGCATCGGGTTCAAGCAGAAGCTTTTCGAGAGCATCTTCAACTGGGAACGTTGTCATATGAAACTCTCTGCGGAATACCCAAGCCCTTTGGGATTTGGCTGATAAATACGGTGGGCGACAAAACCACCTGATGTTGATTAAATAGACCTTAGTAGTGGGCAGCGCAAGGCCATCTCATAATCCATTGAGATGAGATAGGTCACGTGGGAAATAAGAAATAGTGAAGCCCTCTAACATTGTTCTTATTTCTTCAAAATAAGATTCCACAAAATGTTTAATTAATGGATTTTATTGTTCAAAACACAAGCCCGATATCATGTTTGTTTTTACTTGTCTCGCGTGGCACTCCCAGTCGCGTCCTAGAAGATACGCGTCTTACTCATAGGTTCATACTACGCCGATAATCTACTTGGTCCAGCTTCCCGATGATGAATACAAGGTCGAGTTAACCAATTACTACAACTTTCATAATCTTAATGCGTTTATCAGTGATCGATCTATAATTGGAGATCACTACTATATGAGATGTCCATACCGTCGTTGATCATGTGGATGCGAACACTACGTCCGCGAGCATCGTCAGGCACGTCGAGTACGGTTCTCACTTTACCCAATTTACCTGCCATGGATGGCAGCGCCCGTTTGAGGGCAAGCAACTCGCGGTTGTCGGCGTCGGTCATAATCACAAACCACAGCTCCCGTTGCTGTTTAGGGAACAGCGGCGTGTACACTTTGAACTCCAGATTCAACGGCGGGTTGTGGTGGGCCAAAGTCACCTCGATTTCGTCGTCCTCAACCAAATTAACTTTGAACTTGCCCACAGGTAAATGGCGGCAAATCCGAACAAACTCCTTGGTCTTCGTGGAGTGGAGACGAGAAGCAAGTTTATAGAGGTCATCGGCAGACTTCCATCCCAATTTCTCAAGTGAAAGACCATGGTAGGCCTTATCATCTAACGGTACCGGGTTTAAACCAGGAAGCGCCAGTACAGGGTGTTCATCGTACCATATGCGTTGCTTCAAACAAACCATCACCAGCACCAATGTTTTGACCGCAGCGAAGTAGCCGTACTCGGCAGCAGCATCAATGTACGCCTGGAGAATACGCAACGCCTGGTCGAGCACCGACACCGTATCCTGAGCGTAGTCGGCAATGGGGAGCTCCACCCGCAGCATGTATGCCTGGACAAGCAAGTACGCCTTGACGTGGGGGTCCCACACAAACTCCTTGTCGAGGTCTTCCTGGGGATACCGCATCGCCCGCAGCATCTCCATATTGATCAATTCCTCGCCGTGACGCGTGGCAAGCTCGTCGTATTCTGCGGCCAACGCCAAGAGCTGAAGCGATTGTGCAAACAGGAGTTCTGGCGTCACCCGGTCGACCACGAGTCTCATGGTGCGGTGACTCAAATAGTAGTACGACGAAATATGAAGCAAGGGCGTAGCGACGAGCCTACCCTTTTCGCCATACACGACACACTTCAGCTGTTCCAACCGAGATAAGGTACTGTCAATAAGCTCGGTCAAGTACTTCAGCACCAGCTCCACCAGAGTATCGTCAATGCCGTAATAGGTGGGGTTGTTATGGGCCCGGCGGTACAAGAACGTCCACGTTAAGAACTCCATCGCCTGGGCCCGAGTCTCAATCGTGCCCGCGGCAATCTCGGCCCCCAAGTGGTCGTCAAGCACCTTGTGAAGCGACAGTTCTACTGGGAACCCCACGTTCAAGAAGTGTTTATAGAACAGCTTCTTCCGTTGCTGAGTGAACACAATCGCCGTACCCAGAGTATCGTAGGCGGGTCTCCCGGCTCTCCCCATCATCTGGAGAATATCCGTCAAGTCCATATCCCGGTACCCTTCGATTTTCGCGTCGAAGAACTGAGTACCTTTAATCACCACTAAGTGGGCAGGCAAATTCACCCCCCACGCCAACGTCAGCGTCGCAATCAAGATTTGGATCTTACCCTGTTCAAAAAGGGTATGGGCAATCTTTCTATCGGACTCAACCAACCCGGCATGGTGCAACCCCATACCGAATTGAAGCGAAAGCTTAAGCGTTTCGTCCAGGACGCGACTAACAACTTCAGCAAGCTCGTCGTCGTCCATGTGGAGGAAGCGACGCGGGTTCAGCTCACTACCACACATGTGGATGAGGTCTAAAGCCGTCAACCGCGTTTGCCGTCTCAGTGCCACGAACACCAATACTGGTTTCGTAGGCAGGTGCTGCTTGATCGCCATAAAGCACGGTTTGTTCATGGTCTTCATGAGCGGACAGAACGCCAAGTTATCGGCAAAACCGTCGATGTACATCTGCAATGGCACTGGCCGCACACTCAGAGGGAAGTTGAATAAACCTTGTTTCACGCCAAGCCACCCAGCCATGTCCATCGCGTTCAGCACTGCTGTCGACATCCCTAATAATCTGATCGGTTTGGCGGTCTTCTTGGCGACATAGTTCATTCTCAGCACGATCATCTCGAGGATGGGCCCCCGGTCCAGTGCCAACAAGTGGATTTCGTCCATGATCACCAACAGGACCTGCTGGACAAACTTACGTGTTTGCCAGTTACGCGAGATCCCGTCGAACTTTTCTGGGGTGGTGATGATAATGTCAGCGTTTCTGATCTCAGCCAGCGACGGAAGCGAGTCACCGGTGAGTTCCACCACCCGCCGATTAAGCCGCTTACGCCAATCATCAACTCTTTCCCGCACCAACGCCTTCATCGGCGCAATGTACACCACCTTCAGCCCCGGGAACTGCTTAAACGCGTGCCATATCGCCAATTCGGCCACCACTGTTTTACCTGAACCAGTAGGAGAACCAACAAACACTGAATCGTTAGTGTGGTATAAGCTGTGGAACACCATTGTTTGCATCGGGTTGAAATAGCGGAACTTCGGCAGGTAAATCTCCTCAATCTCTGGGTCGTGAAGTGCCGTCACTGGCAACGGCTGGAGTCTCAAGAGATTGGTGCGCACAGTATCGTTGCACGGACGAATCAAGTGTTGGAACAGCACTGGGAGCACCGTTTCCAGACCCAACCAGGCGTCACTGACGGCTCTCACCACCACTTGGCCCGGTAACGGGTCACTCAAGGGGATCATGAACTCGAGCTCGTGCGGGGCCCGGATCAGTTTGCGACTAATAATCAATTTATCCACATGAAGGATCTCCCTCAGATTGTCGGTGACCTCGACGGTTATCCAGAAATACTGGGCGTGGCCGTGGTAGCGCTCGTCCCACACGAAGTCCGGGTGTACTTTCACTTGCACTCTCATCACCTGAGCGGTAACAGGGAATATCTCGGCTTCAAGGGTGAGATACGGGAACTTGTCCATCAACTTATCGATGGTCATCCCCACCTTATGGTTGTGCACCAAGTCCCCGATCTCAGGCCCGTCCATATCTCGCAACATCTCCATCAGCGGCTGTTTGTGTCTGAGCTGTTTGAGCACCAGCTCCGGCAAATCAAACTGAGCTAAAGGATGGTCGAACCACCAGAGACGACGGTCGATCAGCTGGCAGAGGGCAAGCATAATCAGCATGAGCTGACCCCAACGACGGTTCATGGCAATGAGGAAAAGAGCCCGACAGATACGAGCAGCGTTTTGGGCGACGTAGTTACAATCCAGGATAAGGGCACTGTGCTTCAACCCTGCTTGAGAAATGTAGGCCTGAAGTAAAGTATTAGTTTTCCCCGCTGGCAGTTCCAAGTCGCCACCAATTTGGCAGGGAGCATCGCGTTCTTGTACCTGTTTAAGCTCAGACTTCTCGTCTTCGCGGAACTTGATCCCGTCAAACTCCGCCAGCATCGAGATCATCGCCAACACGTCGGCCTCGGTAGCTCTGGGGCTCATCATCGTCGTAAACACTTCCACTGAGTTGTTAAGCAAGTAGAAATCCAGGGCAATCCGACCCAAATCTTTCAGTGTAAACAGCTCCAGCTCTTCGTCGAACACAATCATTTGTAATTGGTGGAGACGTCGAGCGGTATCGACAATGAGCTGGCGCCGTTTCATTGTAAGGAGTGGGTCATTTTCCACCTCCTTCCAGTCAACCCCATACGAGAATGGGTTTTGCCGCATTCTCACCATCATATAGGTATAACCAAGCCATCTTACCCCTTCGTCCACATTAGTGACTGAGCCAAGGGCAATTTCCGCATTCAAGTTGTCGACAAGCTTAGCCATAAGTTTCAGCTCAATCGGATGTTGTTGAGTGATTAACGAGACGTAGTGGTCGAGACGGTCGCTGGTGGTGCACAAAATACCCGTACCCACCAGTTCGTATTGGGGTCTACCGGCACGCCCAAAGATCTGGATGACATCGGAAATACCCAAGTCAACAAATCCACCCTGTTTGGCATCGTATACTTGTGTACCCTTGACGATAACAACGGCAGCAGGTAAATTAACCCCCCACGCAAGCGTGGCGGTACAGCAGAGCACTTTAATGGCACCAGCAGCAAACATTTTCTCGGTTAAATTACGATCAGACCGCAACATCCCTGCGTGGTGAATCCCGAACCCCAGCGGGAAGAGCTCACGCACGTCCTTGGAGCGGTTTTTACCCGCCACCTCGCGCTTGAACCGTTCATACTCAGGCAGCTCCGAACAGTCAAACATATCGCTTTCGCCGTGGTCACGGGCCATGCCGATATAGTTACGCGCCAGTTTGACGGTGTCGCCTCGAGAGTGCACAAACACCATCACCTGGAGCCCTTGGGCCACGTAGTGGGCAAGCTTATCGTACAGTACTCGGTCGATATTCTCACGAGCAGTTTTCAGACCCGCTTTACCTCGTACCCCAATTAATTGTTGAGCTAACGGCACCGGGCGGAACAGCTGGTCAAAGTAGAACATCCCCACTTGCCTATTAACCCCCAAAAAGTCGGCAACGTCCATATAGTTGGGCAATGTCGCCGAAAGCCCCACTACTCGAATCATCAGCTGGGTGGCTTCCACTTGGCGAAGGGTACGGGCAACTAACGTTTCAATGACGGAACCACGGTCTTCATGAAGTAAATGCACTTCATCAATGATCAAAAGTTTCACTTTAGCCACGAGCTCGGTGTCGCCGTTAGCCTTACGCGTGACCACGTCCCACTTTTCTGGGGTGGTGACGATGATCTGGGTATCCATGATTTCGCGTTTGGTCAACTGCATATCCCCTGTAAGCTCCCTAACCTTGATGCCGAGCCAGGCAAGCTTTTTCAGATACTTTTCCACGATTTCCGCGGCAAGTGCCTTTAAGGGAGCCACGTAGACAATCTTAAACTCGTCAATGGCAATGTCAAACGTCACTTCGTCGTCTTCGTCAACAGTTTCGGTGATAAACTGGTGAATGCAATGGAGAATGGTGAGCATGGCCACGTCAGTCTTACCCGCACCGGTGGGAGCACACACAAGCATGTTTTCGTTGGTATCGTAGGCCACAGGGTATACTAACGTCTGCATTTTATTGAGGGTTTTGTAACCCTTGAAAGTGCCCCTACACAACCAATCAAGCGACGAAAGCTTTATAAGCTGGTGGTCTTTGATCCACACGTTATCCTGAGCTTCAGGTGCAGGGATGTCAAGCTCTTCATGCGTAGGGTACAGTGCTCGCGTAGTACCCGCTGGAAGGGCAACTCGTTTTCCCGTAATCGCCTGAATATTGCCCACTTCGTGCTTTTTAAACACGTGGGGGTATTTGGATGTAGTGGATTTAGGTGCCAACGGTTGGTTCTGGGTGCGGCGGTAGTTTTCCTCTAGCATCGCCACCCGTTCCTCCGCCGTCATGATTTTGACCCCCGTCTCCTGCGATATTTCCTGCTTGTTTTTGATGATATCAGCAATCAATTCAAATTCCTCAAACCCCAAGATGTCAAAGAGACTCAGCTGGAGCTCTTCGTCCGGCGGGTTGCCCGCAAGCGCCAGCTTTACCATGTTGAATACCTCGTCGGGCAGCTGGTCTCTAGACGCCGAAATCACGGCACACCGGCTGCGAATCGCCTCCACTGACAGCTCCAGTGCTTGTTGAGGCTTGGCCAGTGGTTTATCCACAATTCGGTCCAACTGGGTGCGGTCAAGGGGCCCCACTCTGGCAAGCACTTTGTCGACGGGGGTGATGGCGATGGGATCGGTGTCGACTTTCGGTGGGTGTTCGGGAAGGGTGACATGGAGCCGCTGCATCGCTTGCAAGAGCGGCTCCATGGCATTCATATACAGCTTGGTCAGCGTCGCCGTGTACAGCGACGACCCCATGATGACTCAGGCGCAATAGTGGGGTGCGAAGTGAGATGGCTCGGGTGAAGGGCGGACCCAGGTGAAGGAAATTGTACTTTACATCGATAGAAGGAGATTCTGAGGAAACCTGAAGCCATTGTATGCTTATAGAAGATTACAATTGAGTTGTGGAGGTCGGTTTGATTTGGTAGTGGTGGCAACCTTAGTGCGCACACAAGTGGCTAGTGCCATTCATAGCGATTAAATATATTCAAGTTCAGAGTGTTTAATGTGATTGGGTTGCTTTAGACAGTTTATTGTGTTTTGAGTATAAGTCTTGTGAATTAGCATCTTTCAATAAGTTGGTAGAAATTTCTATAAATTTGCTTGATAATTGTGAATTCCCGTTGATTGCGTCAATATTATAGAAAGCTAGCTTCATGGCTGTACAATCGACAATCATATTATTAAACAAACCTCAACCGATTGATGGTATAAGCCGCCAGTAAAAAACTACGATCGAACGATTCTTTGCCTTCGAGAAGTAAATGGCTTCGTAAATTTATTATTATTACTATTAGCGTTGTAAACTGGTTGGCTGAACGAGAAATGTGAGACTATCCCCTTGCAATATTCAGAAACAAACTTCATCGCCACCTCGATTGATGGCAACATAGTTTCCCTATGGAGATTTAGTGGATGAAAGGCGCGTTCATTGTAGTACCATGAGGATAACAGGAGGATGGACGACTTAATGTTGAAGAAGCCAGAGGAAAGTAAAGTGAAATGTGTGAGAAGCCAATACTAAGTAGATCTTTCAATCCGGCTAGACGAGCGCGATGTTTATATGATCCTCGTCAAAATCATCTTCGTCAAAATCAGAACCTTAATCATCGCCCACCAAATTGAAAAGTTCGTGTCTAGTTGCAGATTTGTACTCTAACACTCTCGGATAAGGGCGCTTCTTTAGGCTCCAACTCCGATCCCCAATGATCAATTGTTCGACGGAGGATGGTATTGGAAAGCCAAGCTGATAACAATAGATTCCACTAAAAATTCTCAACGACCTGAGCGCATTGCACCCACGTAATTCAGGTACAACTAAATCTGCAAAGTAGGCTGGGTTATTCAAATTCTTCACAAACTGCTCAAGCATAGACCGGGGTGGTTGTCTCAAACTCAATGTTATATTCTGAACCATGGACGGTACTTGATTAACTTCACGACCATGCAACTCCTGACATTTGATGCCATGGAGGCTTTGATACCAGGACTTACACTCAACAACTCTTGCTGTGATATCCGTCTCAAATGGGATTTCGCAATCTCCAAGATACACCCGGTCAGCCGTGAATTTCAACTCTTCTGCTTTGAAATGTTGCAATCGAACTGATTTCATATAGGGAGGAGATTAATTTGCTTTTAAACATTTTCAGGCATCCCAAATCCTACTAAAACCATTACTATTATAAACATAAAAGATCAGAAATGCTTGCTAAAAATAGTAGGATTGATATTTTTGCATCTATGGATAATTAATGCCCATCTCTTGTAGCATCCCAGACATTCTTTAGTTTCAAAATCGCAACAGGTTCCGTAGTCTAGTTGGTTATGGCGCATCCTTAACACGGATGAGGTCCCCGGATCGAGCCCGGGCGGAATCACTTTTTTGAACTTCTCCTCTTATCTTTTTAACAGAGACCGAACCCAAATAATCATGATTGAGATCCAATACTTATACATCTCTTTCATTATAAGTGATACTCTAGTCTAATTTCAGAGTGTATGTTCTTATTTTTTGTGGGGGTTGGTTGTCTGGCCGTAGGTGGATAAGGTGTGCGCGATGCTCATCGCGAAAATCAATCACTCAGCATGGCGAAGAAGAGTAAGGCTGCTGGCAAGAAGAGAGCCCACAGAGAGATTGAGGAGGTCGAAGACACCTCCGCCGCCACTCAGGAGATGGTGGACGAGCTTGACGACCAGTTCTCCGAAGTGGCCGAGATGTTGGGCGAAAACATCGCTGATCCCGAACAAGATGAAGATGACGACGCCAACGAGCCCGAGGTCGAGGAAACCGATAAGTTGGACGACAAATTGAAGCCTCAGGCGAAACAAGACGCTAACGTCACCACGGAGAAGTTCTCGGAGTTGGGGCTCTCGCAACCCACCTTGAAGGCCATCGAAGGGATGGGGTTCACCCTGATGACCGCGGTCCAGGCCAAGACTATTCCTCCGTTATTAGCCGGTAGAGACGTGTTGGGTGCCGCCAAGACCGGGTCGGGGAAGACGCTTGCTTTCCTCATCCCCGCCATCGAAATGTTGCACTCGCTTCGGTTCAAGCCGCGTAACGGTACCGGGGTGATTGTGGTGCTGCCCACGAGAGAACTTGCCCTCCAGATCTTTGGTGTGGCTCGTGAGCTTATGGAACACCACTCCCAATCGTTGGGGATCGTCATTGGCGGTGCTAACCGTCGTCAGGAGGCGGAAAAGTTGGCTAAGGGGGTCAACTTGTTGATTGCGACTCCGGGGAGATTGTTGGACCACTTGCAAAACACTCAAGGGTTTGTGTTCAAGAACTTGAAGGCTTTGGTGATTGACGAAGCCGATCGGATCTTGGAAATCGGGTTCGAGGACGAAATGAAGCAAATCATCAAGATCTTGCCCAACGAAGAGAGACAGCTGATGTTGTTCTCGGCTACTCAAACCACTAAAGTTGAAGACTTGGCGAGAATCTCGTTAAGACCGGGACCGCTTTACATCAACGTGGTGCCGGAAACTGCTGCTCTGACGGCTGATGGGTTGGAACAAGGGTACGTGGTGTGTGACTCCGACAAGCGGTTCCTCCTTCTCTTCACCTTCCTTAAACGCCACCGCAATAAGAAGATCATTGTGTTCTTGTCGCTGTGTAACTGTGTCAAGTACTTTGGTGAACTTTTGAACTATATCGACTTGCCCGTGCTTGACTTGCATGGTAAGCAAAAGCAACAGAAACGGACCAACACCTTCTTTGAATTCTGTAACGCCAAGCTGGGGATCTTGATCTGTACTGATGTCGCTGCCCGGGGGTTGGATATCCCCGCTGTCGACTGGATCATCCAGTTCGACCCTCCTGATGACCCCAGAGACTACATCCACCGTGTCGGTAGAACTGCCAGAGGTACTTCCGGTAAAGGGAAGTCTCTCATGTTCCTCTTACCGCTGGAGCTCGGGTTCTTGCGCTACTTGAAGGCCGCCAACGTGCCGCTTAACGAGTACGAGTTCCCCGCCAACAAGATCGCCAACGTGCAACTGCAGCTCACAAAGTTGATCAAGCTGAATTACTGGTTGCACCAGCTGGCCAAGGACGGCTACCGGTCGTACTTGCAGGCGTACGCCCTGCACCACTTGAAGACGGTGTACCAGATCGACAAGCTTGATTTGGCTAAAGTGGGGAAGCTGTTTGGCTTTGATGTGCCTCCTAAGGTCAACATCACCATTGGTGCCAGCGGCAAGACCGATAAGAAGGCGAAGAAGCAAAAGCGTTGAATAATGGGGTTACATCACACACTGTATATTAGATAATTAGGAATACACTCTCCGGCAGCAAAGTGTAGGTTAAACGAAGACTGAATTAGCTTATGAGGGTATTTATGCCACTTACTATCGGCTAACTAATGCTTTCTTCTATTAAATATGTAATACATTAACATCATGAGTTAGGGAAACGTTTAATGGTCAAGTTCTCACTTGCACTTTCCGACGCTTAAACGCCCGTTGCACTTGACGACGACGGCGCTTACACTCAGCTGTCACCTCACTTCTTTGAGCGTAGAACCAGGCTTCGTAGTCGCCATCACCAGGAAGAGGCTGTTTCGTGCCCAATGACCCGATCTGAGCGTACTGTGATTGCGATGCCATAAACGCCGAGTCGGCGTGACTCCAAAAGAGCCCGTGCTTGGCCTTAGGAGCCACCTCCATCAACACTTCGTCCTGCTTTTCCTTAATTTGCTTGATAAGCTCCTCAGACACCGCGGGAGCGGGCGCTTCTTCGTCCAAATCGTCGTCATCAGCACCAAGAGCAAGGCTGAAACCCGAAGAGGGACCCGAGTTCAAAAGCGTCCGCAAAGACTCAGTGTCATTAGTGTTAGATTGAGCAGTAGGTTGAGTCTCTACCAGCTGGGGCTCGGAAGTAGTAGCAGTCTCTGGTACCACCTCGATATTGTCACCGTCTTCAACGGTCTGAGGTTTGAGCAGAGCGAAATCCAAGTCATCGTCTTCTTCACTGAAATATTGCGGTTGTGCTACCGGTTCCGCGAGCGATTTTGCTTCATTAATGATCTTCATCCCCAGCTCAATATCACCCTCTGCCACCAGCAGCGATACTCCTTCACCAGCCATTTCGTAGTCAAAGTGTTGTACTCGCCTCCGTCCCTTACTGTCGTAAGTGATATCTTCTGCATCGATGCCGTTATCGTCGTCAACCTCCACCGGTTTATCAAAATCAAATGCCCCTAAGAACTTAGCCAAAATTTGCTTGGAGTCATTGGTTTCTTCAGCGATGGCTTCCGTTGACTTAGGTTCAGCTTCAATTTCGCCCACCACCACTGGTTGCCGGGTTACTCGTTCGATAACGTGACCATCACCCAGCTTCCATTCACCCCTTTCGTAGACGTGGGCCAAATCGGTAATGGCACGCCGTTCCACCCCCCAAAGTTTAGTTTTGAAACATTTAAACGTTTTGAGCTCACCGTTAATCAATATTCTGAGGGTTTGTTCACGTAACGCCCGCGGGTTTCTGGCAGTTTTCCGTAATCGACCAAGCACCACTTCGGAATTACCGCCAGTACGACTATATTGTTGATGAAACGGGGCTCGACTCAGTGACCATGCCCCGTAAGACTTGAAACCAACTAATGTCTTGCTGGGAGGAGCATTTTTCGTAGACCCACTGGCGTTGTTAATTGTATGAGGAGACATGTGGTACCCGTAAGCGGTCAGCGAGGGTGCCACTCCAACTAACAGACTTTTAATTGGTTGGGGTACTGGTGTAGTAGCTTCTTCAATCCGTTGAACACGATTATGATTGATGATGGCGGCTTTCACTTGTCTCTGTTTAGCCTCTTTCAAACCATCAGTCGCCGGTACCGGCTTGAAACCAGGCTTGGCCTCGGCCATCAGCATCTTCTTCCCCATAAACACCACCCCATTAAAGGCCTGTCTCAATTTCGTCCATTGCTGGGGAGTTACATCGATATCAACAAAGGCGTAGTAGTGGTCGGCCAACGGCTTACATCGGAGGTCAAGCGGCAGTTGGAGAGTACCATAGTTGGCTAGCCGCTTCTCAAGCTTATCGGGAGTCTCGGCAAGCTTAGGGGAGATGTTCCCGATGTGTACTCGCATGAGTGGGGTATTGTAGGAATTGGCTTCTATCAGGTATAAGGCGCGATGGACCCCGTTCGCGCGCGATGAGCCAAAGGCAACAAGGAGAAGAGAATACAGATAACTACGGGTTCTGGCAAAATAGTACAGTGATGTTTACGTTGAAATTCACGTTGGGTCTATAAAGTCATAACTATTCGTAATTGGTTTCCATTTCGTCGATGTCGGCGAGATCGTTGGGCTCTTTAGGTTCCTGGGCCTCGCTCCACTGGGTGACGTCGTCGATGTAACTGAGGATGGTGGCCACCAGATCGGAGTCTTTGTTGCCTGCTTCCAACGGTAAGAATTGCACCATGCCGAAGTCATCGACTAACTGAGCAATCAGGTTATTGAGCTTAGCAAACTTAGGGTTAAACTCCAGGTCCTGCTTTGCAAGCAACATCGGGTCGGGGTTCAAGAACTGCTTGAGCTTCTTCTTGCCATAGTTATCCTTAATCAAGTCCACCTTGGACAAAATGTTAATGTGGGGCAATTCAAGCAAGATCATCGCCGACATCGCCAGAAGCGCCCCGGAAAAGAACTTCAGCGGATCAACGACAAACGACAGCTCAAGCAAATAAGCAGCACACAAATTGAAGTTAAGCTGTTGCTGTAAATGCTTAGTGATCACGGGAAGCACCGGGATATGAGTGTATAACTCGATCTGCCCCGGACAATCGAAGATGAGGTACTCGTCGTTATAATCGCCAATCTCCTCGTCCAACCAGTCCAAATTGTTCATCAAAAACTCAAAGCAGTACACCAACCCCCCGTTGGGCCCCAAGTCCATCTCTTCCATCACGTCCTGGAGCAGAATGAGGTCGCGGATGTCGACGGTGAACTCGTACTCGAGCGGCTCCGCCGCCGGGTCCAAGTTGACGATGTGGGCCCGGCGCCCCACCAGCTGCATGTGGCGGATGATCAGGTTGCAGAACGTCAGCTTGCCGGCGCCGGCAGGCCCCATAACCATTACCCCCGTGCGCGACATTTACGTATGAGTCGGTGATGAGATGGTGCTGATCCCTAGGAGTCTCGCCGCACTTATAATTGCCCCCCCGCGCCGAGATGAGTAAGCTGACAAAAGCGATGCATCCACAGTATATTCGTGAAGACCTGTAAACTGAATCTGGAAACTTATGTTGATTCTAATCGTTGGTGATTGAGTTAAATCTCTTCCCCTCAATCATTGGCATCATTGAATTTAGGACCATTTTGTTGGCCCATCGTAAGCGGGGTACTGGACAAGAGTTACTAAACCAACATGTCTACCATTACTGGAAACGAAATAATTACATGTAATGAATTGTCAGTGTAGGATAGCGGTTTCATATTATGATGTCAAATGATTCAGTCAAGAGAAGTTGATTTGGTAAAGTTCGAATCACTCGTAAAATTGGACCGTCCTAACACTACTTGCAAGCTGCTTTTTGTTGAGAATCATTTAAATTTTATTGAAGGGTACCATCATCTTAGACGTTAATCGATACATAAATGATGTATATCTTTATTAAATATGCAGCTATCTATCCGAGGGGTAATATCTACCCAAACAAGTCATCAATGTCGTTATCTTCGTCGAGTTCAATGTCGTCGTCATCGTCTCCGTTGGCGGCGGGAGTCTCACCGTCGTCACCATTGTCACCGTCGTCGCCATCTTCGGCATCGTCGCCATCTTCGGCATCGTCATCGCCGTCGTCGTCATCTTCTTCATCGTCGCCATCAGCGTCAACCCCCGCGGTGGCCACTCCTGCCGCCGCCGCTGCTGCTGCTGCCAGCGCCAGAGCCCCTTGTTGTGAAGTGGGGTCCAGTTTCCTTTGTTCTTCAAGCAATTTAGCCAAAGCCCGCTTCTTTTGATCAAGCAGCTGCCGCAACGAGTTGTACGACGTCTGGAACTTCATCCGCATCATCCGCAGAGACGCCAGGTCAAGGTGGCGTTTATTGGACTCGACGGCCTTCTCCAAGTCAGCGATCTCCTCATTCAACATCTTGAGATGCTGGTCGTCGTCGTCGTCCTCATCATCGTCATCATCACTATCGTCATCGTCCTCAGGCTCGTCGGGTTCTTCCGCCGCATCCTCTTCACCATCATCTTCATCGCCTTCTTCTCGCTCAATGGCAATGCCACCAAACAAGTCATCGCCGACACTGCCATCCAACACTTTATTAAGTTCTTCTTCCAAGTTGACGCCTTCAAACTCATCAAGATCATCAGCAAATGGCGGCGCGGGAGTACCAGCAGCCAGCGGGGTACCCAGTAGTTGCCCCCCGTTGCCCCAGGCACGAGGAGTATTTGACAGCGATAACCCGGTAGGAGTACCAATAACCCCTGGAGTACCGGGAGCTCCCGCATTCATCTTCTTGGGGTCGACGATCTCAAACGCCAGCTCCTCAGCATCCTCGTCTCGTTTGATAAGTTCATTGACGCGAGCATCCACCAGGTCCATCACCCGGTGATTAAGCTTACGCGGTCTAAACCGACGGAACACGTCTTCAAACGGCGGTAGAAGCCCATCACGCCACACGTAACGGTTCTCCTTGAACTCTTTATTCTGCGCCATCTTGTATAACGGGTGGTGGTACAATTTCTCTTGCGGCACTTCGAAATCTTTATCCTTACGAAGCTTTTCCGGGTCCACTTTTTTAATCACCAAAAGCATCTGTGATATATCCAATGTTTTAAAGATATTCTTGCGATCAGTGGTTTTGAAAACCTCAGTCACTGTCGGTAAGTCAATCACCCGCGCCAGGTATAATGTCCCGTTGACATTTACCACTGCTTTATCCTTCGAGATCCATTTAATATTGAGCCCCGTATAGTCGCCCAGCTCACAAGCTGAGTGGACGAAGTCAAGATTGGTATCGTCGAGAAATCGTATCATCATCCCCTGTTCAATTAAAGGGTCGTCTTCGATGTCGGGCGCCTCTGAGTCGTAGCCTTCACCAGGAACACGGGTGGGCTTAATCCGTACTCGCGGTACTGACCGAGCGGGCTTCACATCCACCAGCTTCTTTGAGTTCTTCGCTCCGAGCGAGAGCTTGATCTTTTTCGGTGTTTTCACGTCTTCAGGTTCAGGCTCAGGTTTCGGCGGCTTTATTTTGATCTTGGGGGTGGAACTGCGAGACTTTTGAGTCGGCTCCGGTGACCCTGAGGTCTTTGGAGTCTGAGAGGACCCACTGCCTCCGCTACCGCCGACGCTGAGCTTTAATTTGAGGGCCATTGGCAGGCAGGGTGGTGGCGCGTGTGGTACGGTATAGCTTTACGATAAAAACGATGTGCCCGCGCTACCATGTAGACAATTGAATTGAATTGAGGAATACATTAATTTAACTGTTAGCAGTCCATTGTTTGACGAATAGACTGTATAGTGTTTGGCGATTGAGGAGTTGTTTAAGCGGAATACGATTGTGATATTCAATTTTGACAAGCAGCAGTGTCAGTCTGCTAAAGTAAACGCTATGCTTCATAAATACTGAGAGCACTAATCGTGTGGCCTCGATGGTCGTGCAATATATACCAATTGTATTGAAAGTGTCGTTCAATTACCAAAATTGAATTTCTCAGGTCGAGTTTTGACTTGCGATTTCACCTCTACGTTGCGAGCGTTGGCGCCAAAAACCGTTGAATGATAATTGAGTCCGGCACGACTGACGACTTAGTAAACAACAATTTGCACTGTTGTCTCATACGCGCAGGCTTAAATTGCCAATTTATTGCTATAAATTTCATTACAAACTTAAACAAAGATTGACGACTTTTCAAGTTATGTTTGATTTGTCTGATTCATTTTAATTTGATTTGTCTGATTCGTTTTAATGAACGGTAAGTGATCAAAGTTGACACAAATTCAGGCTAGAGTTAAGCTTCGCTGTGAAAGCCACCCTCTCATACTCCTCACAATGTCGAGCAAATGTATTCCGGAATCTTTGTACCTTTCTGTGTGTATCATGAACCAACCAACCATCCTAAAGAAGGCTGATGTGGTTTAGCATTTCTGCATTCTGAATCATTTGTATGCAGACAACACGACTTGCCTGTTTCCAGTGATGAATTAGCACCGACCTTGCAAACCGCATCAGTCAAGGTGTTGGGGCGTGGAGCAAAAGCAGACGGCACTAATGGACATGGATTGTCTGGTGCCATAACATGCTCATTGATCCAGGCTTCCCCAGTACCGCGAAAGCCACATTTACACCTTCCAGAACTAGTGAACAATACGCTTAGTGTGGCCTTCCATGAGTCCTGAAGGTTGTCAAACAAGAAATGTCGCATAAACATGTGTACTTTGTCGTTAGTTGTGCCATCAAACAAACCACAGTTTGCATCTCCTTGAAACTTACACTTCGTCTGCCAGTCGTCACGATGAGATTTGATGTGTTGCTGTAAGTTTGCTTCAAAGTTCCGTCCACACACAGTACATTTGCCAGCAGTTGGTGCATCCGGATCGATAGACGCAGTTGTCAAAGGGCATGGATGTTTTTCAGACAATATATGATCATACCACCAAGTCTTTGCCTGATCGTGGTAGCCGCATTCACACGTTCCATAGTCATCCCAATACAAATCGTCGTTGGGAAGGTCCACGTCATCAAACGTAAAGTGTCGGTTGAACATATGATTTCTGAAAATGTAACAGTTTTTGATTTTATTCGAAATCTTTCCACACTTTCCAAGTGCTTGAAAGTTACAAGCTCTTGGCCAGTCGTACTGATTTTTTTCCTTCCTTTTTGATCTTTGAACCAATCGATTAATCAATCGTTTGGGTCGAGTATGCTCGTTCAGTTTCATTGATTTTAATTTCAGCCTCGATGAAGTTGGAAAAAGAGATGATTTCTTCTTCGACATAGAATCAGTCGTACATGGTTCGTCGTTAGTTGTACGACCGTCAGCTCTATTTGAATCAACCGCCGTTGAGAGTAATGGACATAGACTTTGGTCATTCAAAACGTGGTCATTGAGCCAGGCGACTGCCGCCCCGTGGTACCCACACTTACAAGTGCCAAACTGTTTCAACATATCCGTGACTTTAGTCTTCTCAGTCACGACTAGATTGTCAAACTTGAAGTGACGTTTGAACATATGTTTGATGATGTCGTTAGGATTTCTTGAATTTCCCTTGAATGTACCACAACCCCCACTAGCTCTGAATTTGCAATCGATCAATGGGTTATTGCCACGGTAAGAATTCTCTTGAGAAACAATATTGGTCTCAGATATCGGTTGACGGATTGATAATAAATTGTCGTTATAGACATCCACTACCTTTCCTCGAGGGTTTTCAAATGATTGACGAGCTTCAGTTCCAAAAGACGCCTTGTTAGTAGCAGGCGTTGGTTGCTGAGACAACACAATTGGGTTCAACGCTGATGAACCCATGACGTCAAGTTTCAACGTAGACGGCGAGGCAACTGGTTCATCCATCACGACCTTCACTTCAGCAATATGAATGTTGGAAATTTTGTACACTGTTGTGTTTGTCGCTGAAGTTAAAGCTCACATGTTCATACAGATTCTGAAACGAGTCAGGATGTTTAAGGAGTGGTTTCGATCAATACTAGGATATGAGCATCCTTCCCAATTAGCTTTGCAAGATCAGATAATCATACCCATCTCATTTGCCTCAAACAACATAACCAATCAATGCTTAGTCGAAACGAGCATAGTGCAAATCTCTGGCCTCTGTAGCCATTATCAATTTGCAGCAACGAGATATCGCGACGCGTGGGTGTGGGGATAGGACTATGAAAACTGAACGGGTCGAACAGCCTTAGTATCTTAAAATCAACGCGTGGATTAAATCGACGAGCAATTGCTTTTATGATTCAAAGTTTCACATTGTTTTAATCTCCTAATGACAAAGGAATTGAAGTAGCAAATTGAAGAGTTTGAGTTAAAACTCATGGCAGTTTAAGGCACGCAAATTTAAACCCCATACATTTCTCTCTTTAGGAATCAGTCGTAGCTGGATTGTGGTCGTTGACTCCTACTCCACCAGGCATTCAACGACAGTGACTCACGTGACTGATTCATCAGATCCCATAAACCACTCTCAGTACCAGATGATATACCATGCGTTATGCTGTGGCGGTATCGGGAGGTGTCGACTCGATGTATATGGCTTGGAAGTGTCGTCATCTTTGCCCGCTAGCGATAACTGTTGACCATGGTCTTCGTCCCGAGTCCGCCGATGAGGCTAAAGCCGTGGGCACTATTCTTCGTCAATGGGGCCTAGATCACCAAATTGTCAAGGTGAATGTACCAGGAAATGGTCTGGCACTTGAGGAAAACGCTCGATTACAAAGATATGCTGCTATTAACGATGTGTGCACTGCTCGAGAGATTCTGACGGTATTGGTAGCTCACACCGCCGATGACCAAGTGGAAACGTTTTATATGAGATTAATGAGAGGATCATCGCTATTTGGATTGAGGGGACTCTTGCCTAAAGGCCATTTCCCAATGGTAACTCCTCGTCCCTTATGGGTTGAACGTCCTCTTTTGACTACGCCGAAGCAAACGATTATTGAAGAGATGACTGAAAAACAGTTACCGTGGTTTGAAGATAAGACTAACCATGACCCACTGTTGACTCATCGTAATTCGATCAGGTCACATTTGACTCAAAATCCTCAATTGAGACAGTCTCTACAGGAACTCCATCGACAAGTGGTGGAGGCAAATAAGATGATTGATGGTTATGCTACAAGTCTAGCAAAACAAGTATCAATTACTTGGGACTGGCATCGAGGTTGCTGTATTATTGATGGAGTACGTGAAACGGATACAGAGATAATGACACGCTTTCTTTTCTATACTCTATATCCTATAAGCAGTGCCAAGCTCTATCCGTGGTTGTATACCAAATTTGAGGCCTTAGTAAGGCGAGGACTCAACGGAACGGTGGCTAACCTTAAGTTTAACTTTTCAAACGACCGACTCACGGTATCGCAGGCTCCGAAACCTCGTTATACGGCCGGAGAAGTAACCACCATTGATAATACTCCTCGATTATATGATAACCGATGGTGGGTGAATCTGCCAAAACCTATGCAATTGGTAACATATAACCATAAGATCCATCAACAAATGGTCAGTCCACCTCTTATTGGAGTAGTGGGGATGAATGGCGTTCTAGCAGAGGTGTACCAAGGTAAAATAGTGGGGTTTCCTACATTTACTGGAAAAAGTTGGCATCCAAAGCATAACATTTATTCCACTGATTAATGCTTCCACCATCTCCTGCGTCCCTTGTGGACAACATGAGGACTATACTCGATATTATCATGCTTTTCTCGAAGGGGCGTACGCTTAAGAGGAGGTAACTTGATGGAAGCGCTTGCCCACAGACGGATCAGCGACTCTGAGCTGGAAGCGGATACTTCACCCAAACTAGGCTCATATCCAAGCAGCAACGCTGGTGATTGAGTCGTTTCCATCCCCCATAATCTATCAAACTCAGAATCCACCTTCAGCTTGATTGCCTCCCATGGTTCGTTCCATTGGCACGAGTAAATGATCAGCCACAACTCCAGTTCATCCAAACCAGAAGTGGGGTTTTCTGGGGTAGGATTATCAGTGATTGAATCATCAGAGAGGAAAGGATTGGTGGTGTCATCGTCAGCACCATTAAAGTACTGTGGGGGAGAGGAGTGGTGCAGCGATAATGAGTCAGCAGAGACACTAGACGATTCAGAATGATTATCACCGGATTTGTAAGGGAATAATGAGCCGAATAACTGTTTTAAAGAGCTTGTAGACGCGTTATTCAACGTAAACGAAAACTTTCGTGGGGCGGTGGGGGTGTCCATAGTGCGCGGTGGGCCCACCAAAACACGTCCCGCTATGAACAACAACACGTCAATTAACAAAACTTAAAACCAATAACAAAGGCTGTTATCAGATTTGTATCAGTGTCTACGACTACTTCTAGTGGAAAACTCGTCACAATCGCCGTGTATAATGACGTAGCAATGTTGGCATCCCTCATTATCACTGTTGTCTATAGGGTCCTCACAGGATCGTCATCGCCACTTGATATGATCAAAATAACACACACAACAATCTATGCTCCCTCAATTACCACTATCACTGATAATCATGTCAATTTTCGATGCTCTCTCTCTCCCTTCTATCACCACTCATCACGGTTGGCGTCACCATCATCGGGGCGGCGCGCGCTCTACATCACACCCCCCATGCCTGCGATAGACACCCCGAAGCTCTACCGGGCCAGCAAGGCGAAAACGCTGAACGTGCTGGCCCAGCCGTTCAAGGTGGTGCACCAGCGGGTGTCTGTCGACGTCGACCTCGCCAACCAGGCCATCGCCGGCACCACCGAGGTCGTGATTGTCCCTTATACCGACAAGCTTAAAGTGGTCAAGTTTGACTGTCGAGAGATGGCCATTGAGGAAGTCACTGTCAACAACGGCAAGCCGTGCAATTTTATCTATGATGACGACCTCTACATCAACGACGAGAGCTACTTTGAGGCCCTGGTGGAACGAGGCACCGTCAACCTATTTGACCTCTACCTGGAGGATTTCACCATCCACCACAGCCATTTGCTCCGCCGCAAGCTTGCCAAAGTGTTTGGCGAGGTCAATTTCGATCCCCGGGAGCTCCAGCAGCACCAGCAACAACTCACTCAACAATTGCTTACTCAGGAGACACCGCTGGCACAACAGCAGCAACAGGTCCAGCTCCAGCTCCAGCAACAACAGCAGCATTTCCTTTCCCAGTATACTACTGCCCATACTAATACTGAGGAGCTCGCGGTGTTCCTCCCCGATCTGCTTCGGTTTGAGCTTGCCGACTCGTCGCTGACGCCGATGCTGGTAGCGGGGACGACGCCGATGAAAAAGAACACCCATAACGATAGCTACGCCCCTATCACCATCCGCATTCGCTTCAGTCTCGTCAACCCTAAGAACGGGGTGATATTCGCTACTTCCGACCCCGACCCCAGCCGCTGGCACTGCTACACCACCAACACCGATTTTAATGTGAGCACCTCGCTGTGGGTTCCCTGCATCGACAACTTGTGGGAGCGGTGTACGTGGCTGGTGGAGCTCAGCGTGCCGCGAAGTCTACGCCAGGACGACGAGGCCAAAGACGACGACGACGACGAAGAATCCGGCGATCTGGACGTGGTGGTGTGCTGTGGTGATGCTAATAACGTTAAAGAAACCCCGCACCCGCTGGATCCGGCGAAGAAGATCGTGCTGTGGCTGGTGTTTAACCCCGTGTGTGCTCAACACTTAGGGTGGGCCTATGGTTGTTTTTCCAGCTTTGTCCTTAAAACTGAGGAAGCCCCCGAGCCCGTTGAAGAAGCAGTGATTGACGACGACAGCGACGATGACGACGAAGGCCGCAAAGTCGAGGCGGTGCTGATTCCGGTGACGGTATATTGTCTTGCCCATCAACTAGAATGGGCGCGCAATACCTGTGTGGTACTGAACCGAGCCCTTGATTACTTCTCTCGAGAATTTGGCTCATTCCCATTTTCGCTGTACCTGATTGTGTTTGTCGACCACTCACCCGAACCTGCCCATAATTTCGCTGGTCTCTCGGTGATGAGCACCGATGTGCTTTACCCTAGCGACGTCATTGAACCGATGCTCGAGCTGACAGAAGCGGTGGTTGAAGCGATTGCCACTCAGTGGCTGGGGATCAATATTGTCCCCCACTCATTTAATGACTTATGGTGTACGGTGGGTATCGCTCGCTACATGATGCTTCAATACCTCAAAGTACTCATGGGTAATAACGAGTACAAGTTCCGGGTGAAGATGGCGGTGGAGGAAATCTGTGCCAAGGACGTCAACCGCAAGCCGTTGGCGCTCCAGTTTTTCCGGTTCCCCGTGCGGATGAGTAATGAGGACCTCTGGTTTATCCGCCTCAAAGCTCCCATCGTCATGGTATGTCTTGACCGCCGAATGACTAAGACCGATAAACTGTTTGGTCTTAGTCGAGTGCTTCCAAAGTTATTCTTACAGGCGATGCTGGGAGATTTGGTGAACGGCTCAGTGCTGACACAGCATTTCCAGTATGTGTGTGAGAAAGTCAACCGGACCAATAAGCTCGAAGGGTTCTTTAAACAGTGGATATACGGGGCGGGGACGCCGCGTTTTTATGTCACCCAACGGTTCAACAAGAAACGGTTCCTTATTGAAATGAATATCCGTCAAGTACAAACGAAAGAAGTGAGCAAGTACAAACCGACGCCGCAGAACTTTGTTGCCGACGGGCTTGCTTACCTTGACGATGAGCCCCAATTTCCTACCCAGGCAGTGTTCACTGGGCCCATGACCATCAGAGTCCACGAACAGGACGGTACTCCCTACGAACACATTGTCGATTTAAAGGAAGCTAATACCCGCATCGATATCCAGTACAACACCAAGATGCGGCGGAAGATGAAGCTGAGGAAGAAAGGTGACGATGACGAAGAAGAAGAAGCGCCACCGCCTCAGTACGGGGCCCAATTTACTCCCTTGGGTAGTCAAGTGTTACAATCCCCGCAAGAGATGGCGGAGTGGGGGTTTGAAAATTGGACCAAGACCGAAGAGGAAGTGTTTGATAATGCGTTTGAGTGGGTCCGTGTAGACGCTGACCTCGAGTGGATCGCTCAGTTTGAAATCAAGAAGCCCGATTATATGTACGGTGCCCAGCTTTCGTACGATCGCGACGTCGAGGCCCAGTATGATGCTATTCGCTACTTCTCGCACTCGCAACGGCCGCTGCCTCAAGTGTACGCCCTGCTTACGCGTACGTTGATGGATGATGCTTACTATTACGGGGTGAGAATTGCTGCTGCTCGTGCTCTCGTAGCAATCTCCAACGAAGGCAACCAATTCCTCGGAGTGGGGTACATGATAAACGCCTACAAAGCGATGTTCTGCTACCCCGGGTCGCTGATCCCCAAGCTGAACGATTTCACCGATTTCCCCCGGTTCTTCGTCCAACTGCGGCTCCCGCAAATTCTTGCCAGTGTTCGCACCGACGCCGGCGAAGTGCCCAAGCCAATCCGCAATCTTTTGTACAACTTGGTCAAGTACAACGACAACAGTAACAACCCGTTCCTGGACCTGTTTTACGTCACTGAGCTTCTCGCCGCCCTTACGCAACTGGCATTCCCGCCAGCGCTGCCCGACGCCCACGATACCCTCAAATGGCTCACTGAACCCACCCCCGGGATCATCCTGAAGGACCACGAACAATTTGTCGCTAATGTCGACACTGAGATTGTCCGTTTACAAAAGCTTGACGAATGGATTCCGCTGTTCCACCACGTGATGCTGGCGCAGTGTCTCCGCCAACGGGTGGAGCTTGCGGTGAGGGGGCTTGTGTCTTTGTCGATTGAAGATCTCTTGTTCTACACGCCGGCCAAGTACCCGGCGCCGGTGCGGATCGAGGCGTGGCGAGGCGTGTTTCTCTTGGGCGGGCTCAAGAACGCCGCCGTGCTCAACTACTTCTGCAAGTGTGTGCTTCTCGCCTCCGACGCCAACGCCACCACCAACCGCCAATTCCAGACGGAGCTTGTCGAAGGGCTTTTGAAAGCTATCGCCATCGCCGCTATCGACGGCACGCGGCTGACGCTCGATGACCCCGAGTTTGGCACGTTAACCAAGCTTGCCCTGGCACCGAAGACTACAACCGAAGTGCTGGACCTGGTGGTGATTGACGACGGCCTGGCCGCGGCCAAAGGGTCGCGTCGGCGTGATGAATTGGCTCGCGCTCTGATCAAAGGGGTAATCAACATGCTTCGCCGCGACTATGGTCCTGGCTTAGGACTTCGCCACACGCTCTGGGAGCTTGTCCACTCGTCGCTCATGCCTCTTCATTTGCGCAGAGACGTGCTCAACATGTGCCAGCTTCTCTACCCGGCTCACGAAGACTATATCGTCCGTCTTCCTGTGCCCCTGATGCCGGTGAGCGAGTTTAAGAAGAAGATTGTGGCCCGTAACTTGGGCGATGGCCAGGTGGTGATTAAGCGTGAAGGCAGATTCAAGATCCAATTCTTACTGCGTAAACCGATCTCGACGCTGACTATCAAGCTTCGCGGGAGTCTGACCCCTTCGGGTGGTGTTGCCACATCCACTGCTCCTCCTCAGCCTACGTTATCGCGTGAAGAGAGAGCTCTGCTTCGTGAAGCTCACTTGAATCGCCAGGCTCCTCAAGCCATCGCTGCCGTTGGTCCAAGAAAGGTAGCAGTGAACGGTACCACGGTATCGTTTAGACTTACTCGGGACCAATTAAAAACTGTAACGCCGCAATCTGGCGTGGCGGTGAGTCGAGTCGACCCGACGACCGTTCTGTTTAAGTTTCAAGGTAAACTGGCTCAGTTGTTTAAAAAGAGGGTGACGCCACGATTGGTTCGCATCAACTTGAAGCAAGGAACTGTGGAGGTGAAGAGAGCAACCAGTGAGGAGATCCAGGACGGAATCAAATCTAATGGTGATGCCATCGACCATAGGTCTGGTGACGCAAATGGTGAGGTTGGTGAAGTGGGTGAAACTGAACAAACACAACCGAATGGTGAAGCTGACAAAGTTAATGAAGAGAATGCTAATGGTGATGGTGTTAAGGAAATCAGTGATGCCGGTGACGCTGGTAACAACGATACAAACGAGCTTGACAACGGTGCCAATGGTGATGTGGATGAAGATATTGCTATGACCGAAGCTGTTGGTGAAACTAAAGACGTTGACGAACCTCTGAAGTCTAATACTGATCAACCAGCTCAGAATGGCAATGATGTCGATGACAATGGCAATGATGTCGATGACAACGGCGATGTTGAGATGAAGGATGAGCAAACAGCTCACGACGATGCTGACAACGGTGAGGTACAGGAAAAGTCGCCTAAAGATGGTCCGTCGGGAAGCAAACCGAAAATCACGTTGAAATTCAACCTCAAATAGGGATTTATAGAGTAATGATAATGCATAACGGTATAATATCACCAGTATATGGTCTAAAGGGAGCTAAAAAGAAGGTTCCCGTCAGCTACAGGACTCGAACCTGTGCGCTCAAAGAGCATTTGATGCCTCGATTGAAGTTCGAGTCAAACTCCTTAACCACTCGGACAAACTGACTGATGAGATTTTGGCACATGCTGACACCATCAGGTGTGAGAAGACTGGATAGTGTCCCACCTCGTAAAATGTCTCCAATCTTTTTTTAGGGGTGGTTTGTAGATGATGGCGCAAGCCAATAGAGAGATACACAGAGTACTCGATATTAAACCTTCCGCTAAATTGAAAAAGGGGTTCGATTCCGATGGTCTAGTTTGAGCCGAATGTTCACTGTTGTGTGTTTTATTTGAACTCAGTCTTGCCCTTATTTGAGACTATTCTGATAAATTTGGTTGGTTTTTTAGTACTACTTATTGTAGAACTCAATTCTGGCTCTAACCTGAGCAAAACTGTTTGTGCTATTTAATTTCTCATTATAAAAGTGATCACAACTTTTAGTGCCTGTTAGCATAAAACATTGTGTCACTGTATCTGTTTTCTAGTCAGTGTTAATGCTTGATTTGATTGCTTAGAGAAATGGGACTTAGATCAGAGAAAAACCATACTGATCTTTTTGTGATGTGGTGAAATTTATTTTAGCTTTGGAGATGTGATAATGCCAATTAAATGTGGACTTGTCAGCTTCAAACAATCTTATCCCAATACAAAAGTTCTCTCAACTTTGAAACTTCTTGATACTTTACCTCACAGTGTACATTTTTCTCAATTCTCCACAATTTGCAACCTCAATACTCAAAGGCGCGCTTTATAAGTGCGGCTCGGTTTTATCAGTTGAGATCAACCGCCACTGTGGCTTCTCTCCCTCAGTTTCAAGTATGATCACCGTCAAGAATGATCCCGAAACGGGTTACTCCATTGCCTCAGACGTTGCTCCACCCCGTCTTCCCTTTGACTCCATATTCGTGATTGATCTGGTCCGCTCGGGCGCTCGAGTACTCACCCACCTGGTATACAATCTGGTGCTTCGCCCGTTGTTGACTCTTAGTGGCAATACCCATACATACATTGAAACCATACTGGCTACGGCCATTATTGAGTTTGCCCGGAGATTTACTGCCGCCAATGCGCTTGTGGTGTTTATTCTGGGTGATACCTCGATTAACGAATTCATCAATCATTTGCCCACCACTACCAAAGGCAAGGTGACCATTGCTCCCATTCCTGCTGGTACAGGAAATTCGCTTGCGTTACTGTTTGACATTGACTCGGTGGAAGCTGCGGTGAATCGTCTCTTCCTGTCGAGTTTCACACAGCCTTTGTATGCTTATCAGGCCAAGTATAGTGGAACTTCCAGGTTATTTTTGGTGGTCTTCTCCTGGTGCTTTCATGCGGCGTTGGTAGCGGATCTGGATACCCCGGAACTACGCAAGCATGGGCTTGTCCGCTTCCAGATGGCTGCCCAGGCTAACTTAGCCAAACCGAACCAGTACCAAGGGAAAATCAATGCTGATGGTAAAGAGATTGATGGTCCGTTTGCCTATTTTGTGGCGACGCCGTCGGTAAGATTTGAGCCAACGTTTATCATTTCTCCTCAAGGTGATATTCGCCAGAATTCTCTCTATGTGATATCATTTCCCTCAGGTCTTGACATCTTGGAGATTATGAATCAAGTATATGACAATGGGGCTCACATTAAAAACCCTAATGTCAATTATATCAAGGTCAAAGATACGCTTACTCTTACTCATCGGGCTCAATCTGATGATGAAAAGCGGTTCTGCATTGATGGAGAGATTGTATCTATTGAAGATGGCGAGGTGGTATTGAGTGCCGTAGGCAACGATGCTCACGGCTGGCAACTATATACCATTTGAACAAATAGTTGAGGTCGATAATAATAATATATTCGATCAAAGCCCGTGTGCTTCATCGACAGACCGAATTTGAAGTGGTAAATCAAAAACCAAAAACATATGATCAGTACGTCTGATGCTTCTTTTGGAAGATAGATTTAAATGTCATCTTGGTAGAGTCGGATCATTCAACAATTGAGTTTCCAATGGGGTCAAGTGGTCCTAAATTTAAGTGCAACACATGGAAACTATAATCGAAACATTAACTAATGAAACATGTCTTAGTTCGAAGTCGAATTACGCGTAGTCTGACCTCTTTGCCTGGCGGGAATTATACGCTCGCGTCGCAAATTTCCAGGGGACCCATCCATGGCTAGGCCCAATACTAAGACCACGCGTCGTTCGGCCGCCGACACGAAAACCGAGGTGAAAAATCACCTTGACACTCCCGAAAAGGATGCTATTGACCATCCGAAACCGGTGCTTTGGTATACTCCAGCGTTTGAGCTCCTCCAGTACTTCCAGCGAGCGGCGGATCAGTGGACGGCCCGCTACGTGGTGGTGATCACGGCGTTAGTGATCCGGATCGCTGTGGGGCTTGGTGGGTGGTCAGGCAAAGGGGTGGCGCCGATGTATGGTGACTTTGAGGCCCAGAGACACTGGTTGGAGCTCACTACTCATTTGCCGATTCACCAGTGGTACTTCTACGATTTACCCTACTGGGGGCTTGACTACCCTCCCTTGACCGCCTTCCACTCGTGGGTGCTTGGAAAGATTGGCGGAGCAATCGACTCACTGTGGTTTGCGTTGGACGAGTCTCGAGGCATCGAGACTATCGGCGTGCAAACGTTCATGAGATACCTGAGTTTGGTGAGTGAGATGGTGCTTTACATCCCTGGTATCCTTCTGGCGGTGAATTTAATTGCCAAGACGTTTAAAGTGCTGCGGATGGACCAGATCGTGGTGGTATTAATCATGCTTTCGCAGCCGCTGCTTGTGCTTATTGACCACGGCCATTTCCAATACAATTCGGTGATGCTTGGGTTGTTTTTGTGTCTGGTTGTGGAGCTTATTAAGCGGCGACTCGTGGTGGCGCTGGTGTGGTTTGTGTGCTGCTTGAACTTTAAGCAGATGGGGCTCTACTATAGTCCGTTTATCTTCACCTACATCTTGCTGCAGCTTGAACTGGTGACGCAATTGGTGATGGTTGGCGCTACTGTGATTGGCACCCAGGCGGTGATTCTTACTCCGTTCTTGCTTGGCGAACAACCGCTTGCTACTCTTACTCAGATTGTGGTGCGGGTGTTCCCCTTTGCCCGCGGGCTTTTTGAGGATAAAGTGGCCAACTTCTGGTGTGTGCTGAACGTGGTGATCAAGTATAAGACGATGTTCACTGCTGCCGATCTCTCCAAGTTGGCGTTGTTGGCGACGTTGGCGCTGATCATCCCCATCAACGCGTTATTGTTCTATAAGTTGAAGCTGAAACGCGACCAGCAGACGCGCATTGCCGCCATTGTCATTGGCTTCACCACCACTGCCCTTGGCTTCTTCTTCTTCTCCTACCAAGTCCACGAAAAGCTGATCTTACTTGCGCTAATCCCCGCGACGCTTTTGCTCGCCATCGACCCTGCCCTCATTGATATCGTCCAGTGGATCAACAATGTCGGGTGCTTCTCGATGTACCCGTTGCTTAAACGCGACGAGCTTGTCCTCCAATACTGGGTGACTGTGTTTATGGCCAATTGGTTCGTCGGTGCTCCCCGTCTTAACCACCACCTGTGGTTATGGCGTTTAATTATGGTGGGGTCGTACCTCGCGATGATTGGCTACCACGTCGCCGACGCCACGATGGCACCGCCACAGCAATGGCCCGATCTCTGGGTGATCATCAATTGCGGCGTCGCCTTCGCCGGGTTCGCCGTGTTCTACGGGTGGCTCCACTACCGAGCGTTGCAGTTATGAAAAAATCGATGCGTTGTATGGGGTTCATGCTAATACTAGGTACAAAAAACGAGGTCTTTCAGGGGCACCGCCGCCTGGCCGGCCTCATTGCCAGAGAGTATAGAGAGTGGGGGAGGGGGCCGGGGAGCCCCGCTCACTGGCCATAGTTTATCGGGCGTTTAAAGAGCAAGATGTGGGGTTCCGGGGCGTGGGTCTCGTAGTGGGCCCACCCCAACAGCTGGGTGATCCCCAACCCTCGCCACTCTTCTTCAAGCAACAATCTTAACGTGCCGGTTTCCGGGTTGAAGTAGTCCTGGGGGATCGCCTTGAGCATGTTCTTGGGCAACATCACGTGGCGGTACTCGAAGTTGTCCAGGTCGTCCAGGTACCGCGGACTATAGTGGATCATGTCCTGGAACTCAAGCACCTTGGCCCGCTCGGCCTCGGTCAAGTATCTCGGCTTCGTCATCCTCCCACTGAGGCTCGAATGGGTACGGTGGTGAAAATTGTGTGCGCGCGCGTGTGAACTTTTTTTTATCCCGCTGCCTCGCCAATCGTAGTCTCCCGAGGTAAACAGCGAGTGAGGCGAGCGTTGCGAAAGACGAAAGAGAGAAAGAGAGAGATGAAGCGGTATGTGGGCCAGTGGGTGGGCGATGATAGTGAGCTGAAGGGCCCGGGGAAGTTTGTCGTTGGCGACGACGTTATACCCATGGTAACTACACCAGAGGAAATCGACTGGTCGACATCGACTACCGTGGCGTGGCGATTTGACCCTACCATAAATGCCGAGGCGTTGTTGGCCATAGTCCCCGCACACTGCCAGTTGGTGGTGGTGTACACTATGGGCCAACACTCACCGCGCACTCACTGGGGAAACATCGGTGCTGCAACGGACCTGCGAATACTCCCCGCCATATATATCGAGACTACTACTACAGAATTTGATCGACGATGGACGTGTATTGATTTAGCATTAGTGTGGGTGGGTAATGACGTTAACGATTTTGGTATAGCCAACTGGCTACTATCGGCGACATCGACGGTAATCACTAGCCACCCGGAACGGCTCCGTGCCATTGCTGGAGTTGACTGGTGGCTCGACCCATTGGCTCCTGCCACCACCGATATGACTGTCGACGTCTATAACACGTTTAGTGCCGATAGCGCCAAGTACCAGGCCTATGCCGACGCCGTGGAACTCGCCATAACCGATTGGCAGGCTCCAGAACCACCAACGGTGATGATAGTGGGGGCAGGCACGGGACTTATAGCTGATGCCATTGCCCATTTAGGGTACGGCAAGCTTGAAATTGTGGAAAAGAACCCTCACTGTTATGGAACTCTCGAAGCCAAGCTGGCGGGATGGCGTGATTGTCGGCTCCATTTGACTTCAGTAACGCCCACCATCGCTGATGCCGACATTATAGTTCTGGAGATGCTTGGTTCGTTTGGCGATAACGAGCGGTTCCCCGAGATTCGCCAACAAATGCCCATGTCGACAGTATCTATCCCTCAACAGTACTCTCTGGTAGTGTACCCTATCCATAGCCATCACTCAGTACCGGGATTTCGTCCGTATGTGGCTAAACTCTCACGGTACTACCCACTTGCTGACGCCACCGAGATATGGCGTTTTGATGGTGGTAATGACGGTACTGAACGTCACGGTTCGGTGTCGTGGACAGCAACGGAAGCAGGCACGATAAATGCGATCATGGGGACATTCAGAGCCCAACTATACGGTCACGTCGCCATCCACAATTGTCCAGCAACTCCGCTGCTGTTGGTTAACGGCCAGTATTGCTCGCTGTGGTTCCCCATGGTATTCCCTGTAGCCGACTACCATGTGGAAATTGGTGACACTATTACTTTTGCAATGTGGCGCCGGCTGGACTCCAATCGAGTATGGTATGAATGGCAATTTCAAGGAACTCGGTATAACATTGATGGCACCCACTTCAGTTTTTAATACATGGAATAGAATTAGTATCTCACTGGTGAGCGTTCACGTTTATCGTTGGTAGACTTATGAGACAGCGTATGGTGACGGTGGCGGCGGCGGTGGTCATCACGAGACGACGGGTGTTTGCGGCGAGAGTCTTCGCGTTGGTTTCTGAGGTCTTTGGGTGTCGTAGCAGCTTTAGGGTGGCGGTGTTGGCGAGCCGCCATTGCCACCGCGGCCATAGGGTCATCGGTGGCTTTAACCGTTCCCTTACCACCATTAATCACTTTCATAAACCGTTGGTTAGCTTTGTTAGACACCAGCATCGCCCCCAGCCCCAGCAAGAGCTTTTCCGCTTGCGCTTTACCCTCAGTGAACTCACCCAGCACCTCCGTTGAACCTGGCGACAGCGCCGTAGCGGAAGTATACATCCAGTCCAACTTACCGAGTTTAAGCTTTTCTTCAGCCAGTATTTTCTCCTTATAGTCGGGTCCATGGCGGAGCGAGAGGAGCTTCTGGTACTGTTGTTCCTGCTCGAACTCGGCGTTTCTTTGCTTGATCTGCTTGTACTCCTCGAGCTTTTCCTGTTCCTTCTGCCAGACCTTCTGTTGGTTCTTCACCAACGCCGGGTTCCACGACTTTTTAAGATTTAAATCGCCCCCCATCTGGTATAAATTGTGTGCTCGGAGTGAGACTGACTGATAAGAGCGGGATGAGCCGATCGCGAGCCCCCGCCAAACTAAGAGAGACTACCAAAGAAAACACTATTAATACAGATGATACCCAATATTTTTCTTTTGTTAATTCCGATATACCTAAAAAACAAACCTAGAACCCGTGAATCTTGATGTTCTTCTTGGGCAACTGCAATTGAGTGGTCAAGAATTCCGACACCTTGACACGCTGGTCGCCCTGCATTTGGATGACTTCACCAAGCTCTTCGTCCTTGACGATGTTGCCGTTGCAGGCGAAGTCCTTCTTCAACACCTTCAAGATCTTCTTCAAGTCGTATTCATTGGGGATCCCTTGCACCGTGGTCAACGTCTTTCTCCCGTTTCTTTGCTGGATACGGATGTGGATGTAGTTGGTGGGTTGGGCTTCCGAGTCGCCAGTGTCAGCAAAGGGGTCAAACGCGTTGAGGTTCTGGATCGTCGACATACAATGACAGGAGCTTTGGTTGTACCAGTAAANATTTTTTTTTTTTTTTTTTTGTTTTTCCCAGCAGTTCGCGGTACTGCAGACAGTCAAGCAAGTCACACTACTAACACCACTGACACCTCACGGTAGTGCTCTCTCCCTAAGCGAGGCGCGAATGACCTCGAGGCCATCCTCACCCCACGATGAGACCCCATCACCACAATTACTCAGTACACTAAAAAAATGCGGTAACCAGGGGCAACGAGTGGCAAAATCTACTTGAGCCCCGACCACCAATTAGCAATCGAGTGACCCACGTTGTCAATCATCGTACCCGTCCTCTTGCTACTGGCTGTTGTTCAATTGCCATAGACCCCGGCCTAAGCCCACCTGACCCCACCATTCTTTCTCGATACGATTACCCAGAATAGCAGCGCACACCCAACAGCATGTGAAAAATAGACCCACGCCCAGTGCGTGTTTCCCCAGTGAGAGGGCAGCGCGCACGCTCAGGGAGGTAGCGTTTTTTTCACTGGGTACAAAAACGTGCCACAACCACACGCTTAAGCAGCCGTTGCCATACCTCGAAACCTGTCCCCCCATTTCGGTCTCAATTCACGGAGCAACCATGGTACAACCGCAAAAGGGAAAAGCGGCTCGGACGACCAAGGCAGCCAAACAGACCGCCGCCAAAGCCGCCAACACTGGCGGTGACGTCGTCCCGCAAGCCACGTCGGAGAAGAAGAAACTGGACAAGGCGGTGGTCAACGAGGCCGAGAAGAAGAAGCTGGCGTTTATCACGAGAACCATCTGGACGTTCGTCATGATCGGCGGCTTCTTCTTGGTGCTTGCCGGCGGCCATCTCCCGTTGATCATCTTTGTCCTGGTGTTGCAAATCTTGACGTTCAAGGAGATCATCGCCCTCTCGCTGGAACCGGCGAGAGATAAGGAAATCCCCCTCACCAAGCTGCTCAATTGGTACTTTTTGGTGACGACGGTGTACTTTTTGGACGCCCCCAATGTCCTTGACTTTTTCCAAGAAGACTTGTTTGCACACCGCGTCACTCTGTTCCTCATGGCCAACCACAAGTTCACCCTGTACACCGCCTACGTTGCCGGTTTTGTCGCGTTTGTGCTCACGTTGAAGAAGGGTCACTATAAGTTCCAATTTGCCCAGCTCTGCATCACCCACATGACGCTTTTGATCGTCGTGTACCAGGCGCATCTCATCATCGAAAACATCCTCAACGGCATCATCTGGTTCTTCCTCCCCTGCGCCCTCGTCATCACCAACGACATCTTCGCCTACCTCTGTGGCATCACCTTCGGCCGCACTCAGCTCATTGAGTTGTCGCCCAAGAAGACCGTTGAAGGGTTTGTCGGTGCCTGGATCTGCACCATGATCTGGTCGTTGTTGTTTGTCTACGGGTGCCTGGCCACCGACTACTTTATCTGTCCCGCGGAGAACTTGAGCACCAACATTACCAACTTCCCCCACTGCGAACACAACCCCGTGTTCATCACCCAGTTGTGGCAGGTGCCCGACTTCTTCCAGAGCGTTGTCCACACCCTCAACATCAAGCCCGTCTACGCCCACGGGTTGTGGTTGGCGACGTTCGCGTCGTTGATCGCCCCCTTTGGCGGGTTCTTCGCTCTGGGGTTGAAGCGCGCGTTCGCCATCAAGGACTTTGGCGACACCATCCCCGGCCACGGCGGCGTCACCGACCGCATGGACTGCCAGTTCTTGATGGGGTCGTTCCTGTACTTGTACTACCTGACGTTCATCTCGGTGCAGAAGATGACCTTCGCCAAGATTCTCCAGACGGCGATCGTCAACTTGCTGGTGGCCCAGATCATCCACCTTATCCGCCTGTTGTTGCGGTACTTGCACAACATCGACGCCGTCCCCGAGCTGACGGTGGTCAAGGTGCTGGAGTTGTTAGAGCTGGCTACTCTTTAATGATACGTGACCGGCTATTCAACAAGCGGTCTAATGGTAATTGTATAGATGTAATTCAACACACATGTAGATATTATTTCCGTAGCGTCGTCAACTGGCGCCTTTACAACCATCTTGGGCCTCATCGCCAGGACCATTGTTCGCATGGTGCTGGCTTCAGGTACGCAATCGATACGGAAGACGCAGCCGAGCCCCGCAGAGGCTGAGTGACAGCAGAACCAAGTGATAATGACAATTCTGATAGCAATTGCTAGTCACAGTTTTGTAGCTTTAGTCAATTACTACTTCGATAATCTATCATACTGTAACCGTACCATTTGATGGTCTGCGATGCTGGTGCCATTAGCGGCATGAGTGAAGTACAACACGCCAAGTACACCGTGCTTCGCTCCCCACTAACGCCACCAGGTTACCATCTCCGCAGATAAGCCGTTCCGCGTCACCTTCGTGAATGTCGAGATTAGTTTACCTTGAGGATTGAGTCATTTTCGGATAAAAATCTTCCACCAAAATTAGTCAAAAAAAAAGTGGTAGTAAATCTTAGTCAAAACTAGTGATGATCGACGGTTAGTTAATAGACGTAACGATGTCTCACGACCTCACGCCTCGGGGAGCTCTTGGGAAGCCGTGCGCGCACCTCGCAGTGCGCCCTCAGTAAGGGTGCGAGTGTGAGGCTGGCTCGATGGCCACGAAGAGGTAGTGCGAAATGGCTGGTTGCGAAAGCACTAAGGGAAGGCAGTTACGAACAAAAACGACCCGACGAGATAGCTGCGTAGAGCTGCGGAATGTGCCGTGACTACTAGTGCCAACTTAGAGCAACTAATCGCGGTCTAAGTGGAACTTTAGTCCCATGTGTCAACTGTCGCACCCGAGTATGACACCTCTAAAATAGGGTTTACACCGTCGATCAACAGCCGAAATAGACCACCAAATAGCACCAAATAGAATTAGAAAACGGTCCCATATTTCTTGACCCACGTTCCACTACATTTACTACACTGACGATATCGTTACATCGACACAACCATTGGCTAAGGCAGTACTATTGACCAGACATTAACCAGCCTTCGACGCCGGTGGGGTCTTCTGCAGGGTACGGTGTCACGATTATTTTTTACCCCCAACCCCCAATTCACCGCTAACGTTTGCTTCAGGGTCTCATTACTACGGGTACCGGGCAGGCGGTGTCGGACTAATTGGTACTAAAGTGCAAGCCATTCCTGCACACACGTGCCAACCGTGCGTATGCGTGCGCGGCTTAACCGTGGCTGCAAATGCACCTCTGCTTACCGTACCCTCTACCGAGCGGAAGGGGGGGTTGGATGAGGGGGCAAGGGGCGGTTTTTCTGGGGACGTACGTCTCTGTGCTGTCCGGCGGCGTGGCTTATTTGTTTTGGTATATAGCTGGCTCAATTTCGCCCACCCATTTTCCTCCCAGCCTCTTTCGCTTCCCCTTCCTTTCGCTTTAGCCCATACCATGATTATCCGATCCATGTTACTCCCCCTCGTCGCCGCCTTACCGGTGTTGGTGCCTCGAGACGCCGACGACGACGACAACGGCCCCGTGACTGCCTACATCCAGCCCGTGGTGGCGGTGGCAGAAGCGACAACCACGGTCCAGCCGGCGGTGGTGTATGTCGACGCCAACGGCAACACCGTCGGGGGAGTACTGGGTGCAGTGAGCATCGACGACTCCCAATTTGGTACTCTGTTTTACACGACCAGTGCCCCTCCTTTGATCACTGGTGACGAGAACGACTTGGATGTTGGTGGTGGAAACCAAGACAACAACAACAATAACGGTCCAGCAGCGGCCCCGACCGCCCAGGTCACCAACGACTCTGGGAACGGGGACTCGCCGAATACGCAGCAGAATAATAACAATAACGTCCAGGTGGTGGAGACGGTCAATTTCGGTCCCTCGGATATCGTGACTGTAGCGGCGACGACCATCTATGGTCCCCAGGCTCAAGACAACGCAGGTCAACAACAACAGACTCTGACGACTGAGCCCCAGCCGCAGCCCACTACTACTGAGCAACAGCAGGACCAACCGACGACGACCGAACAACCGACGACCGAACAACCGACGACAGAACAGCCGACGACTGAACAGCAGCCGTCTACTGAACCGTCTACCCAGCCGGCACCTCAACCCTCCACCACTCAAGCTGACAACCAGGGCGACAACAACCAGGGTAACAATAACAATAACCAGGGTAACAACAACAACAACCTGGGTAACGACCTGAACCTGAACCAAGGGAACAACGACAACAACAATAACCTGGATAACAACAATAACTACAATAACAACCAGGGTAACGACAACAACCAAGGAAACGACAACAACCAAGGCAATGACAACAACCAAGGAAACGACAACAACAACAACAATGGTGGTTCGCTGGATGGCTTGTTGACTCCCCCCGTGTACATTGTCTACTCCCCTTACAACAACGACCAGTCGTGCAAGGACGCCGCCACCGTGCGTAGCGATCTCGCCATCGTCAAGCAAAAGGGGATCAACAAGGTGCGGATCTACGGGTCTGACTGCGGGGCGTTCACCAACATTTTGCCCGCGTGCAAGGACCTTGGTCTCAAAGTGAACCAAGGGTTCTGGTTCCAGCCTGGCCAGGGCCCCGACTCCATTGACGGCGGTGTGTCTGAATTCATTTCCTGGGGTCAATCCAACGGCTGGGATATCATTGATTTCGTCACCGTGGGTAACGAGGCCGTCAACGACGGTAACCTTCTGCCGGACCAACTTAATGGCAAGCTCAGTCTGGTTAGAGGCCAGCTCCAGGCAGCGGGTTACTCCGGTTCTGTGATCACCTCGGAACCGCCGATTTCATTCATCAGACACCCGGAACTCTGTGAACAGTCGGACTTCATCGGCACCAATATCCACTCCTACTTCAACACCGGGGTGGCTCCTGATGGCGCCGGGGAATACTTGAAGCAACAGAACGAAGCTGTGGCTCAAGCCTGTCCCAACAAGAAGATCTATGTCACCGAAACCGGCTACCCGCACAAGGGTGCCACCAACGGCCTTAATGTTCCCTCCAAGGAAAACCAGAAGATTGTGTTTGAACTGATCTGGAACACCATAGGCAACGACGTGACGGTGTTGGCGATGTGGGACGACTACTGGAAGAACCCAGGTCCCTACGGCATCGAACAATACTTCGGGGCGTTGGACTTGTTCAGTTAGACATACACTTTTTTAGACGTTTTATTTAGATTTGCATTTAGGTTAGGTTGATTTTAATGGATAAATGAAAAGATAATTGTAAAGTGGGGGAAATTTGAGTACACTCATTGATTTATGGCAGATATGAAAGAGCCATAGCTGGAAATATCACCTACACTTTATCTATAAGTATGCATTAATATCTACCTGTAAAAAACGGTTGTAGAAGACTCTAAGAGCC